TTGAACACCCTTGACTTATCACGTGGCACGTGCCACGACGGTCACTGAGATGTATCAAAAGTAGTCAATTACGGGGTAGAAGGGATGTGGCTACCCAACAAAAAAGACCGCAGGCCAATCGGTCCAGCGGTTGCTGAGATATAAGCCTCTCAAAAGCGTTACAGGCCGGGCCGGGCCGGGCCGGGCCGTTCATACTGAGATTTTTCCGTTATATTGAAAAGACTCACTTCGCTCGCTGCGCTCGCTCGCTCGTAATAACTATTTGGAAAGTAAATACAGAACATGTCACAGAACCGCATGAGTGCCGTAAATCATGCTTTGCTAACTGTTCTTGTCCGCGGCCAAATGTAAACCAAACCAAACGCTTCTCGTTGGAATCGAGAGTTACGTTTCGATATTCCATTCCACTTGCTGTGTCCCTTTTCAATTGCACTGCTTTGCACGTGCGAACAAATGCGTCCTATTCTTCAAGGATTGTGTGAATGCTGATGCAGAACGTAACTATATATCGCAGCAGGCTTGGTGGCTTGGCGTATCCTGGGATTGAGAAGCATACATCTCCCTTCCATCTGCCCTTTTATGTCCTCGGGAGTCGGAACCAACCCATCCATGGTCCTTGACGGTATCCCCACAAGAAAGCCAGTGGATGGCATTTCCAATAGAAACATACGTCTCCGGAGTGGCCGTGATTTGAGTGGCCAGGCTCGGGGACTTGTCCCACTGGACCACTCCCGTCCCATGTTGGATGGGCTCGGCCACTGATGCGCAGTAGCCGGCGGTGGACGGACTCAACCCCACTGCCCCCTGCCCCATTCACGACCCTGAAACGTCTCATAACCCGAAAGGAAGGTTTACCTACTGAGCAAAGCACTTAAACAAAATAAGAGCTTCTTTCAGCCTTCAGGGTTCAATATAAGATTGTTATAGACACAAGAAAGTTCATGTAGATGTCAACTTTTTTAGCACACCCTGTACTTGACATTGCCGGTACCAAAATCGCTTATATCTGAGACAGAAGCATATGTCATTATAACAGAGATTTGCGAGATTATTATTTTCCCGACAGAAGGAAGGAGCTATACGAGGTGTATCGTACCTACCTACTGGAAACTTACTTCAGACACTCTGAAAACATCTTCACAGGGCGTTATAAGTTATAGCAGCCACTGCTATTCATTTTACCTTTACATTTCATTTCGGACCCACTGAAATGATGCCTTCTACACTTCAAGTAATATGTTCATTGTGCAATGTGCATCAGCATTAGTCGGAAGATTATACGCAGCATTACATTCCAGAATCAATGTTATGTAGCAACTCATGTTTAGAAAGCATTTCGTTTCAATGACTTCGAAGCAGAGATGTTCGTGAGGTGCAACTTACGTCGGCAAGACTTGGTGTTTTACTATATATTAAATTGCGAGTAGGTAGAACAAATCTTTTAAACGTCTTGCCGATAGGCGAGACGTTTAAAAGCCTTTGAGCCGTTTAACCCTCGCCCTGGCAGGGCATTTTTCATAACACGGCCTGGCAGGGGGGGGTCGATGCGACCCCCCCCCCTCGCGATTGGCTCCTATGGCACCTAGAAACACCAAATTTGGTAGGTAGGTGGGCCCCCCGGAGTTCTCGCCCCTGTGCAAATTTGGTTGCTCTAGGTCAATATTTAGGGGGGTTTTGGGGGGTATAAATGTAAAAATTTCGCTAAAAACAGGTCAAAAGTTTTTCGCTTATAACTTTTGATCTAATTAAGATAGAGCAAAAAGAAAAGCACCAGTGAACTCAGCACGTCAAGGCGCGTCGAATGATATACTTTTTAGCTTGCTTAAGTGTACTTAAAGTTTTTCTTAATTTTTAAGTAAACTTTAATTAATCAATTAAGTTCAACTTAACCAAATTGCATCATATCGCATATCATTCGATTCGGCTGATCACCAGGAACACAATGACACCATTTTTTAAGCTCTAGCGTCATTATGTGCCAAGTTATTGGCAAAAACGTCATTTGACCTCAGTTGACCTCATTTGACCTGACCCATGGATAAGTACACCAAACAAAGAAGCACCAAGTGACCTGTTGTTAAGCACTGTGGTTTCAAAGCACAAAAGTGATAGAACGAAGCGGATATCTCCAGTATTTTCCGAATTTAGTATTTTCCCATAGGCTTAACATTACGACGTAATGACCTCTAACTGACCTCAGGTCAGTGACCTCGAAAAACCCGAACTATATGTTATACAACTCGGTGAACTTAGCACACCCTGAAAGTTTGAAGGAAATCAGTCCAAAACTGTGAGCTGGACAGGTGCATAAAGAAAGTTGAAATTTGACCATGACCTTGTACCGGTTTTTCTGACCTGGTGACCTGACCCAAGGTCACCCGGACCTGAAATTTTCAGGTCATATGTAAAAAGGTTGCCCCATAGGCTGTGCCAAATTTGGCGGCGCTGCGCGCCGCCGTTTTTACGCTATCTTCGAAAAACCTTAGGGGGGGGGTCGCATCGACCCCCCCCCTGCCAGGGCGAGGGTTAATGATTTTATCCCGTACCAACGGTATCTTTCGGGGCTTTAAGGTAAAAAATACATTTCATGTAAAAAATACGGCATATTTCAGACTAGACGAAATGTCTACTAGACGTTTAACAATTCGTCAAACGTCTAGACGTTTAACAAATAAGTTAAACGACATCTGATAATTTTCTCTCTTTGCACGTGAAGCAATGGGGCATTCCACGTCAAATCAAACACCGAAATCCGTCATCCCCTTCGATTTTTCTGAAAATTTGTAGGCAGACTGGGCATGGTTCAAAACTGAGTTACGTATAATATTTTCGAAATTTGATAACGTATCGCTGAGATATAGGTCATCGAATATAGCGAAAAATGCCACACATCAATTTTTTAAATGGATATAACTCTGGTTCCTTTTCTGGTATCAAAATGATATTAACAGGGTCTTATAGGCAATTGATAAGGCTTTGATTTTTAATTATAAAATTAAATTGAAGTGACCTTGAAATGCAATTGACCTTGAATTAAAACAGTAAAATTTAAATAGCAAAAAACACGTCACCTTCGATTTGGGTAATTTTTACATATTATGTCCGTCATAATGTTCCTAACCATCTGTGAAAAAATTGGAGTGGACCATTCATAACTTCCGCGGCAAACGCCGTTTTTCAGAGTCAAGACATGCTTGCTTGTGTACACTTTCTGAAATGAATGATTGCTGATTAGTGATATCCCAAACTCTGCGAGAATGGAAATGCATAGTCATCGTAGTCAAGCATTCAAGGCAAGCATTCATCGTAGTCAAACCATAGTAAAAGTGTCTCAGGCAAACGGTATTTTGCGGTGAATTTTGAGCCGTGTGGAAATGCATCATGAAGTAAATTCAACAAAAACATTATCACCCAACGATATCTTCACGTCTTTTGATCTTCACTATACGAAAGAACATACATTTTTTTAAGATTATGGGGAATTTCTAGTTAATCCAATAATAAATATGGCAGTTAGAGGCCTGCTAAGAGTAAAATGTCGCCGGCTGAGGCGGGCTCGGCCGATGCGGGAAACGCAGCAATCACAATTTTGTGTTTACTCGTCCATATTTCAATTGTTTACCAACCGATTTTCAAAATTCTTTCACCATAAGATTGCCTGTACATTTCTTAGTCTTCTCACAAAATTTGACGCGAATCGAACGTAATCAGCGGTAGGGAGCGCGATGTAAAGACGGAACCTTATAGGTATCTTGGACGGAACCGTTCCGTTCCGTCCCGGCACAGTCTACAATTCAGGCGGCGCGTAGCGGTCGGCGCCGGTTGCCGAGTCGCCGCGTCGCTGCGGCGACAGGATGTTCACTTTACACCGCTATTACTAGAACAGTTGTGAACCGATTTTCTTATTGCTTGCACGATGAGATGTCCAATTCAATTCTTGACAGGTAGCCATAATTAATTTCGCATTAATCTTATGAGATATTGGCGAAAAACAGGAGGGGTGGGCGAAATTCGCTCTTCCCCCTCCACTGCACGTGCTAACATACGTTTGCATATGTGCAATTTTCTTCAAAACTTATGAATGGCCCACTCTAATTTTTTCACAGCTTGTTAAGAATATGGTAGGCAATAAAATATATGAAAATGAGCCAAATCGAAGGTGACGTGTTTTTTGCTATTTCAATATTTGTGCTTAAGAACAGAGTTAAGCAAATTTCAAGGTCATATATTTAAGTAGGTGCAATTCTAAACAAATGGTTAAGAAATTACCTAAACAGTAAGGTTTATTTCATTCAAATCAAACATGTACAACCAAAGTTATGGTCGTTCAAAAATATAAAGATTCAACATTTTGTAAAAATTTGATGCCCTATATTTAGACGACCTGTGGTCAGAATGTGCAAAAAACATCAATGTAATGTCCGGGGCCACACAGGAACTCGCTCACAAATTTATAATGAAATCGCTGATGGTAAGGTGCAAAACATCCGGTTTTTGTTCGATTTGACGTGGAATGCCCCAATTGTAAACACCGTCTAGTGTCTACGGTACGGGATAACTCTATTTACAGGAGTACCTTGATATGCTTACTAGTCAAAGGCAAGATAAAAGCTAAAATAATTTCACTTGTTGAAAATTCTTGTTTGCACAACAATTGGTTCGTCATATAATCTACTGCCCGGCGCCCATGGTCCCATCGTGTTACAACTCACACATACGCATTAGAGTATGAGACAGGTTTGCTTACGAAAGCCACAGCATTGGTAACATGACCCTGGCAGCGGGCAAACACCGGTCCGGCCGCGTGGCGGACCGGCGCGGTCGCGCTGCGGTTACTCCAGCTGGCAACTCCGCTGCGGCTTTTTCCACACAAACAGACGGTCTCGGTAAGCAAACAGTGCGGCTAGGGGCGTGGGAGCGTGTGCGGTGGTCACCGGCGGCTGCGGGCCGCCTCAGCCGTCCGCCGGCCCTCTGCGGTCAGTCCGCCGCCCGTCGCTCACCTCGGCTCGCTCCCGGGATCCTGTTCCGGGAGCAGCTCCGAACGGCTCCGCTGCTGCTCCCAGCTGCGCACGCTTCGAGCTCGGGCCACGTGCCGCAACGCAACCGCCCACGCCACTTGCCTCACCCGCACCTGCCCGAGTTTCCACTGGGGCAACGCTCAAAAATCCTACCGGAGCACCTATAAATAGTGCTGTCCTCGCGGCGTCGGCGCGACCACTAGATGTCGCTGCCAGGGCGCCGGTGCGGCCGGCCGACCGCGGCGCCCCTGGCGGCCCTCGGCGGCACCGTCGCGGCCCCCTGGCCGGCCGCCCGCCGCCGACCCCGGGACGAATCCCGGGCGTAACCTGGGAGGGCCGGCACCCCCGCCCTCGGTTCGGTCCTTCAGTAACGAGTCGACCATGAACTGTGCTGACGTATGCTTATGTTGTGCGAGCCTTGATATATTAAAAAAGACTCATTTTTTTACCACGAAAACCTTTAATTTCATCGGAGCCGCGTCCGATGAAATCGTCTGCCGTCAAGATTGGCAACTTCACCGACCATCGTTTCGTACTCTCCAGATTGAACACAGGTGCTTTAAGCATCATTGGCAGCATTATCAAAGCTTATTTGGCCTTGCAAGTCAGTTTGGTAGCTCCCAAATGTATCGGTTGTTATCTAGCCACGCTCAGGCGCTACATAGGCCTCTACATAGGCTAGAGAGTCCTGCCGTCCGGTCTCAGCCCTGCGTGAACCCTCTTATTTCACAAACACAGCCCAGCGTGCCCTTATCTTTCACCAGCTCGGGCTCTCAGCCCCGATGAGCGCTCTTCGCGAGCCACCCCAGCCCCAGGGTCCCGACTCTCCACCAATCCAGTCCGGGGGACTGCCGCGCAGCCACATCCGAATTCCAGTGCGGTGAATGTGCCCTGTGCCAGGCGCCGGGAGGGGAATCTCGGACCCGCCGCCGGCGAATGCCGAACGACTTACTGGCAGCCTGCCAGAATGGACACGCTGAAACGAGGAAAAACAATCACAATAGTTTCCAGATGATATAATGAATGAACGAATGATAGACGTCTATCGGTCAAGGTAAATGAGGGGTCGTCTTCCGCTAATCCAAAAAGCGTCTTCACGATAAGCCAAACATACGAGTATGTGCTGTTTATGCTTTATACTCATGTATCGAAGCAAAACTAGATTACTCCGATCCCGATGTTAATGTTATAGCGTGTTTGGAGTTCATTTACGGCACTGTTCGGCTAGCTTCCGACATGGTAGTGGTACCAATTAATAGACGTTATTTACTATAACATTAGCACTGTTTGTCAACCAAAACACTCCCTTTTTACACCACATGTGGTAGCTTGCTTGCCACATGAATAGCAATTCATGGAAGTGATTTCATCGAGTGCCACGGTTCGGTTAGCCTGTTATAACAGGTTATGGTTAAAAAAGTGAAAGGGCTTCGTGTTCCTACTTCAAAGGAAACTCTGCCATTAAAATAAACTACTCTAAGGCTCTGCCAAACGAGCCGCCGCCGCTCCGCTGAATGGTAGGCTGTGCCGCATTACAGCTGCGCTCGACGGCACAGTACGCGTATCAGGATTCAGGCGTCCATTCGATGACACACGTCAGCAGCGTATGGTACGCGTAGGGGAGAGTGGGGCAAAGCAACCACCTCTTCGCTTCTTAAAGGGACCCTCCCACCTTCAAAAAAGTTTATGAATTGGCATGAAAGTGATGTCGCTCGGTTCAGAAAGAGCGAAAACGAATATCTACCAAATTTCACCGAAAAATATTCACCGGTTTTCAAGATATTAGACTTTTACTTTTGTTTACTTTTTTGGAATCTCCGCTGTTTCTAGCGACTTTATTTTAGAAGTGCGGCGTTTGCGGCAGATGTTGCGTGCAAATAGCATATACCACCGGCATATTTACGTCTGGACGAGTTGCGTTGGAGAGGCCGGAAATAGTGGCGATTTCAGGACCGCAAGAATGGACCGTCATTGGAATGATTCTTTTTTAAACCGTGGACTGTTTTCGGCCGGAATTCAATAGTTACTACAAAATATTTTGTAATTACGTTTCCACCAAGAATGAATGCCATCAGGGCTAAATTTTTACTTCTATTGCATTTTGTCAAGAAGCATATAGTGCTGTTATATTGCAGTTTTAGCGCGTTTGTTACAAAATATGAAGCGAATAAGCGTCAGTGTAATTTTCATCGGTGCCAGAAGTTCACTTGAGGGGAAGCTATGCTAATTGCTCTTGTCCACCCACTAAAATTTATTAAATATTTTGCTTTGTGTATTCCAAAAGGAGAGGGAACTATTTCATTTGTGCCTTCATGTCAGAATTGAAGGTGGATCATTAAATTTTCAACGCAGTTTACAAACAAGCATTTGGTCTTTCTCGTATATCATGATCATGTATATCAAGCCACTGCTTATATCATGATATAAGCAGTGGCTAAGAAAAGGTTGATCAATCCTGAAGTTCAGTCATCGTACCTCAGCTTGGCAGCAAGATCCCCCAAGGACAGAGGATATATTGTATACATGTCCTGTAAATCAAAACAAGCATTTGGTCTTTCTCGTATATAAGCAGTGGCTAAGAAAAGGTTGATCAATCCTGAAGTTAAGTCATCGTACCTCAACTTGGCAGCAAGATCCCCCAAGGACAGAGGATATATTGTATGTATACCTGTCCTGTTAATCAAAACATTTTTGTGCCTGCAAAGGCTTAAGTTATCTGTGGTGTGTTCGGAGTTAGGCCATATGGCCGTTTTTGTTGTATGTTTATGTGGAGATTGAATATAACTGTGACCCTGTGCTTGTTTGTATACTTACTATGGTCAAACAGGGAACAGCACATTCACATAACATACTCACCTAGCACCTAACTTATAGCTGTGCCCTGCAGGATCTATTCTGTACTTGTTCATACGTCTCGAGCATTAACAAAGCACTAAAGTAGCTTAGTAATCATTTCCCACATTTTCTGAGCATCTAACATGACATACAGCAGTGCAGAGCAGCTTCAGAGAAGAAACACTTTAAATGCACAGACTCACACCAGCCAACCAATGAGCCAGTTCCTCAGTTGACTGTTTCCCTGGATGCAGCTTGGCAATGTGAGCTAACTTTTGGCAAGTTGAAGGTTAGCAGGTAAGATTGAGTTAGGGTGAGTACCTACCTATAACTGGGTGCTACTGCTATGCAGGTCTTGGGAATTGGGATAGGCTGCAAATATGTGTGATGATTGAGGTTAGGTCAGCTGTCAGGTTAGTCAGGAGTATGCTCATTGCTCAGGTCACATTTTTATGGACACTTGGCAAATTAAAAAAACTAACAATCTAATCTAAGCTAACCCGACTAAACATACAAAACTACTGCCAGCAATAATGAAAATTGTCGAGCGCGTTGTACAGGCGCAGCTCATTGCTTATCTCGAGGACAATGGCCTGCTCTCCGATTGTCAACACGGGTACCGTAAATTCCGTTCCACTGAAACCGCACTGCACGTGATCACCGATCTGGCGCTTCACGCTATGGACAACGGCGAGATAAGTATTCTAGTACTTCTCGATTTATCTAAATGTTGACGTTGTTCCGCATGACAAGCTGTTAGAAAAGCTGTCTCTCTACGGCATCACTACCAAATGGTTCCGTGACTATTTGGCTGACCATGCGCAGCAGGTGCAGGTACGGTGCGCAGACGGAAGGATGCTACTTTCTGATGAAAAGAGCAATGTGATCGGTGTATACCAGGGCGGCGCCCTCAGTTGTATTCTGTACATGCTGTTTGCGAACGACCTTAGCTTGCATGTGCCGGACGGTGTTAGTGTTGTCCAGTATGCTGACGACACACAACTGATAGTGACAGGCAGAAAGTGTGACTTACCACAGCTCGTCGCCCGTATGGCGCACGCACTCGACATGTTGTATCAGTGGTTTTGCTTCAACCGGATGAAGCTCAACTCCAAGAAGACGCAGATGTTAGTGCTAGGTACCCCCTCAATGCTGCGCAATGTACCACCTGTGACGTTGACCTTCAATGGAGATGTCATTCCAGACTCAGGAGTAGTTAAAAACCTCGGTGTTCAACTTGACAGGTATCTAAATTTTGAGGCTCAGATAGACAATATGTCCCATAAGTGCGCCGGTATTCTGATAGCCCTAAGTCACGCACGTCACGTCATACCTAGACCTGTGTTAAAGGGCATCACAGAAGCTCTAGTGTTATCCATTGTGCGCTACTGCATGTCGGTGTATGGGTCTTGTACTAGCACACAGCTGCACCGTGTACAGAAGACAATCAACTTCTGCGCACGTGTCGTGACCGGGAAAAGGCGATGTGATCACATCTCGGGTGCCATATCGAGCCTCGGCTGGCTCACGGCCGAACAGTTGGTGGCTTACCATACCTTGTGTGCAGTCGAGCGGACGATGAAGTCAGGTCATCCGGACTTTCTTCTTAAGACCTTCGGACAGCGAGCCCACCAGCGGCATGATCATAACACCAGGCGAGCGGACTCGTTTACCCTTCCGGCCATCCGTGTGGAGGCCGGCAGGCGGCGACTCTGTTACCGCGGTGTGTCGCTGCTGAACGACAGCGGCATTGAGCCTGGCACTTTGTCTTTCCGGGCAGATGCCAGGCTGTTCGCTGGATCTCTCTGATTCACGATATCGGTTCTGGTGCGAGTGTATGCATGGTATGCGAATGTTTGTAGTCATTTCCGTGTGTCTGTTCCAACTTCCCATTGTATTACCATTCAGACGCGAGTAAGTGAAAAGCCATGTAATCGTGGATCTTATTCAAATAAATCTGTTCTGTTCTGTTCTGACTATAGGAACTAAGCACCTCCGTCCTACCTACTTGTGCCTACATCTCATACCATGTCAAAGCAGAGTTCCTTGGTGGAAGATTACCCTCAGTACTTTTTATCCCAGCCCTGTGAAGAAAACTAATACTTCTAAGCTCTGAGTCACTGCTGGCCATCCACAGGAAGAAACGCTGAGACTGAGAGCTTTGCCATTGTATATTGGACCAATAATCACTATCACGAATGACTATGAACATGTTATATGATCACATCGTTGCATGGATTGTCACATTGACAATTCTACTACAATCCTTTTTTCAAGAAATACAGTGATGATTAACATCAAAATCAACATAAAGTGGATTTAGTGATCCAAGCTTTCTCCTCCAGTAGCAATGGAATGATCGCATGTTTCATTTGCCAGACACTGAGTACCTGATGCACATTACAATCTACATAGCATGAAGCATCTAAGCTGCCCAAGTCCATTCATTCTAGATTTCTAACTTGAAAGTTAGCACTAATTTATCTTGCTGTTGTAAGTTATCATTCAATATCCATACCAATACATCAATATGCGCTCATCAGTCAACATTTTCTGGCATGATCCTGCTCAGCGTGCTCTTCAGTAGGTATTGCTTCAAGGTCTGCAATATTATAGCTTGTTTTTGGCCAATAAGCTCTTTTAATTACTTTTTCTTGCTGATATATGAGCCCGATCACCTTGCGTTTATCAACCAAAATTTCATAACTTGTTCAACTTGATATTGATATTGCTCGAGTCAGGACCTCTGTCAGCCTCCTGGATACTTCGGATTGTTTTCAGTCAACATGCTTCTTAAATATAATATAAGTCAATATTCAAAACATCCAACAAAACGACGTACAAGAGTAAGAAAACCACCAGATAAACTAAAAAATGGCCTTGGAACAGAGCCAAGTGGTGCTCCATTTGTTTGTTTACAATGCTTATAAAAAATGAAACGTTTTCACAAAAGTTGTAAGGCAAGTAATATTTATCTGAAAGAACTAAAATATTCAAAAGCCAACCACTATGAAATACATGAATCGGAACGAAAAAGTAACCCAAAAATCCAGCCTAATCACCGGCTCCTAAAACTGCAACAAAATCAGCACTTTTCCCCGCAACTCGTTGTCCAGACGTAAATATGCATACCACCGCGTGCTACAAAACGTTTTAGTCAAACATCTAAAAATCGTTAGATATTTGCGCTGACGTCACACATTCAGAGGGGTATTCCTAAACATTAGCCCCTCTGAATCAAAATGCTGCAATTTTGAAATTCAATATTTCCGATTTAAGGCATTTCTCGATGTTGTGAGTGCCGAAACCGGTAATTGTGAGCCAGGGACCCCATTTTGGCTATCTCAACTCAAATCTAATGTTAAGGTGGGAGGGTCCCTTTAACCCTCGCCCGTATTGGTGTTTTTCTAGCCGTGAACGTATAAGGGGGGACGGGGGTCCGTTGGATCTCCCCTTGCCGTTTCGCCCCTGATCGAGCTAGAGCTTCGCGGAAAAATAACGTGCGTGTTGACCGTGGCGAGAGGAAGCCGATGATACCCAATTTTGAGGTCCTAGGGACCTTCCAGGTCAGGTCAATGACCCAAAAGTCGGGAAAATCGGGACCTGTTAAATGCGTTCACGTAGGTACAGGAGATATAAGCTGTTTTCACGAAGGACATTTGGTTCGCATTTGGTGAAGATAAGGTGCAGATTAAAGATTTGGTTCAGATTTGGTGAAATTAGGTTTTGTGTATTTCTTAGAAGCAGTCAGCTAGGGTTCTACTTATTGCTTGTATACTTGCCTTGTCATATCATCAGACATTATCATCGATTGATATCATGACACTGAAATAAGCTCATTGTATGAAGCTATTTGTTATAAAAGAGATTAGGTGCAGACTTGGTCAGAATTTGGTGCATTCGCCAGATAGCGCGTCGGGAAAACGGCTATTGGTAACATTTTCAACCTAAGCATTTTGACCACTTTGTCCCAGTCACCGGCGACTTCTAAAGCCCCGATATGAGAAACAGAATAGGTGCCTCATGTACGACTAGAGTATTTGATGGTGGCAAGGTTTAAACGAGGATAGATGTTTAGTTTCTTATCTCTCCACATTTAGGTAAACAAAGAAAGGACATTCATGCAAAAGCATTTAATTGCATTTTTGGTAACTCAAATAACCGAAAATTTCGCCGAAATGAACGCATGACGATGCATTGCAATATCACTAGCGTTTGCTGTCCAAGTTGAAGCAACTTATGGAATTAGGAGCTGTGCAGTTTGTCCCGTCGACTTTGCCCCGCGCCTACCATCCGAGACAAAAAGAAAAGAAAAAGATTTCGCCTCTGTTATTAGTGGAGTAAAATGCATTAAAATTGGCAGAGGACATGTACGATAGCCAATGCAGGAATGAGAACACTGAAATAAACTTCCAAACGGTTATTGTATGAAATAATATTTAAAAAGCGTAAGAGTATTGGGATAATAAGAATAAACTGGGAAAATATGCCTTTCCGTCCGTCACAGAAAAATGGCGACGGGTCGTAAACACCGGTCTGGCTCTTACTTACCAGTTACCATGTCGATGCTAAATAGGAACTTTTCTTTAAGAAATACCGAAATTTTACTGCAGATAGGTGCCTATAATAGGAATGCATGCAACTACGTGCATGTATTTTCCGATGCTCGTATGCGTATTGCATATGCTTTCATATCACAGGCAACACAAGAGATCAGTGTTGAGTTTGAATAAGCAATCGGTAACGTTCTAACTTTTCGATTGGATTTCGCTACATTTCCCGTACCTTTGCTATACAAGTAGTCAGACACATGTTGAATGCTACACCTGCTATGGGTCTGCTGTGAGTGGCTTTCAAATATTCGAAAAGTGTTAAGACATCGCATATCAAGCTGCAATTTAATTCGGCTTTCCCTCGATTAAAGAAAAATGATGACTTTATTAATGTTTTACCGCGTGTTCGGTTTCATTTTCAGGTCGAGACCTACCGACGGCAGCTACAGGCAAGAATATTGGAAAGTGGGACAATGCAAACGCTTCTTATGGACTGCCGAGAGTTGTAGTGCTCGAGCCGAACAATAAAGGTTGTTCGCAACCCAACAAAGAAAAAAAACTTCCTAAGAAGTAAGAAGTAAGAGCTCTGGGAAGGGTAACGGGTAACCATCAGAATGGGCGTTCAATATCGGGCAGACCCGATAGACCGACTTTAATCTCAACATTCCACATCAAATGCGTCAAAGGGAGCATGATCCTGACAGCTAACCGACCCTTATAGAAGCAACTGAACTGTACATAATATATGGAACGACTGCCTCACCCCACCCCTGTCTCACAGCCATCCCTCTATCTCCTCCCTACCTCTCATTTATGGACGCTCACTGCTGGACGTGTCAAATGCGCTCTGATTCATGTGACGAGGTCAAACCAAAGTGTGACGGTTATGTCACACAACTCTTCATGAAGCTCCGTTGAAGATGTTAAACAACCTCGTATGTTTACGTAATTGTCGCCGAGGAAACATCAAGTAAAAATATTAAAGTTTGGCCGAAAAGGAGGAAAGACTGGTGTGAGGTTTCTGAAATAATTGTGTGTTGCTCCTACTGCTTTCATGCCGAGCGGCGAGGAAATATTTCTCTCGTGTTCTGTTTGACATGACACACATCAGCTGTTTGTCAAAACACATCTCAAACGTTTCCCGCTGCTCTGGTGTTGAAACCCGAGAAAAGTCATCAGCGCAGCGCGGCGGGTCTCGGTCGCGTCCGGCCGTCGGCTGCCGCGGCCGATGGTGGTGACCTGATGGGGCCCATTGTGCGCCAGCTGTCCCCAGTCCCCGAATGGTGCCGTCGCACTGTCACCAGTGATGCGCAGCACCACCAGGCCAGGTGCTAAGTGGCCACGAAGCCGGCACCAATCCCAAAATAGGCGACCCGGCGCGGCAGCACGCCCGCCCGGCGCGGCACGAGGCCAAGTGGGCCCGCGCCGCCGCCGCCAGCGCGCGGCAGACGAGTATTTTTGGGCCTGTTTGCTCTTGGCAAAGGCAATGGTTTTCTGCGGGTTGAACGGTGGATACGGTTTCGGTGAAGAGCACAGCATGTGAGCGGTAGCACACGCCGCGTGCTCTCCCGGCAAAGTGCTGCGGTGGCGGTGGGTGGACGGCGAGGTGACGCAGGCGAGTCTGGCGCGGCGCGGCCGGGACGTCTGGCGGCGCAGAGCTGTGCGATGCCCGATCAGTGGTGCCCCAGAGGCACTCAGTGACGGCCGGCGCGGCTGCTCTCCGCACGCGCTGAGCTGCCAGTGAACGCTCCCACGTGCAGTAAATAGAGTATAGCGGCAGCGTCCCCCAGCCGCCATGCCGCCGTCGACCACGGGCCGCGGCAGCTCGTCCAAGTGGAGCACCTGCGGCTACTACACCAAAAACATCCTGGTGTTCCTGGTGTCGCATATCGGACTCGTCTCGCTGGTGGTGGGCTACTGCGTAATCGGCGCCTTCGCCTTCGAGGCGCTGGAGGCGACCAACGAGCTGCAGGTGAAGCGGAACGTGTCGCAGATCCGGCGCAACGTCACCTCGTCCATCTGGTCGCTGACGCAGGAGCAGGACCTGCTGCACGAGTACAACTGGACGGCCATGGTCGGCAGGCAGCTCAAGGAGTTCGAGAAGCAGCTCATCGAGGCGATGAAGACCAAGGGCTGGGACGGCAGCGAGGACGACGAGCACCAGCAGTGGACGTTCGCCGGCGCACTCTTCTACTCCATCGTGGTCATCACCACCATAGGTAAGCCGCGGCTCCATCTTGGTAAGGCGGCCACGCCCTCGTCTTGGTAAGGTAGCTACGTCCTGGTGAGGAGGCTACGTCCTAGTGAGGCAGCAGAGGGAGGCTTGGTCTCACGAAACGTGAAGGAGATCTGTAACCTCGATGTTGTTTGAAGAGTCTGCTCCATAAGGAACGTAGTGATTGTTCTTTCGTTAACCCGGCTGGGCCCCCGCACCATGACAAAAATTCAAAACATCATCCCAAGTTAGCTTACCTGAATCCGCCTATGATTTTTGAAATATCCAAAATACCGGAATATATATACGAAGGCCTAGTTAATGAAGAAGGGTCCCCTCAAGTTTCATCAAGCTCGGTCAGAAAAGAAAGAAGTTATAGCATTTTTAGTGATAATGTGTAAAACGCAATTTTTCGAAAACTTTTGCTTACAGGACCCCCAATTTTGAACTTTTTTGAACTTTTATAGTCAATCTGAAAGTTCACGATGAGAGCAATCGAATGGCGTTTGTCCCATCAAGATAGGACGCTTAGTTTTCGAGATATCAAGGGGGGGGGCGAATCGGCCTCCCCCCCCCCCACCACCACCAGCAAACGTAGTCCAGAAAGCCCACCAGTAATAGGGTTAACATATCTACCTGAATACCTAGCCGAGATTGTGCCCAAATTTGGTATCGATCACATTTGAAATGACGTCACAGTGACGTCAGAAGTCAAATTATAGATTTGCGACTTTCAGTCTCCTCACGATATATCCGATATACGAGACCGAATACAAAGGACCGATTATTATTGGTCAGGAACTGGTTGGAAGTTTTAGGTTAGATGCTTTAGCATGACAGCAGGTGCTGTTTAGTTCATTTACAGTTGAATGCTCAGCTCAGCGACATCAGAAGCGGTCCATATCGGAAAATGAAAAAAAAAACTTTATGGCCTCACTGTAACGTCATCTTCAGTGCTACAACCACCAAACTTTTCTCAAACATTGCCTAGTTACTCGTTTGAAGCTATGCCAATATGCCAAGCTTCACATTCGTGGCTCATTTCGGAGATATTCCACAAAACGTAGGGGGGGGCAGCTTTATGCCCCCCTTTACGGTTTGCAACTTTATGCCCCCTCCCCCCGAGGCTCGTGGGTTAACTGTCTCCGTCTTCAGAGTATCTCAGAAGGTGACATTGAGGCCATAAAAACGTGCGAAAACGTAGCATGATGCAGTACTTCAAAGCCATCGCGCGTCCCTTGCCTTATCATTTGGCATAAAGCCTGGAGAAAGCACCACACGTACTGGGGTTGTGCAAGCCCCCCCCCCCCCCATAACGCTTCCTTCATAACTCTTTCAATAGCTTGGCGTAAAACCGATAAGCCAGTTCTATTTGGTAATGGCTTGTTTAGAATTCCATCAATCAGAGATATTTTCAGAGGACTGTGAGCTATTTTAGCCGAGGCCCAGTCGACTGCTGCAATAATAGCAGACGGGTAGAGCAATGACCACCATCAATCCAAATATCGGCGGCCTCTGACGGGCATTCAGCCCCGGTCGCGCCGCGGGTGGGCCTGATGAGCACAGATGGCCCCTCACAGGCCTCACGCGACTGAGCGCGCTGACTGATGTTTCGGCTGGCGCCAGGGACGTCCAAACTCGTATAGTAAGACGATTTGTACGTCACCAGCACGCGCGTCACGCAACGACTGTCGCCGGTTTATCTTTCATCCACGTCGTTAGGTGAGCGGGAAGATCGGCAGAACGGCAGTATTTTTGTAAATAGAACTTGTAAATAGAGTAAATAGATTTGATGAATGATAATCAAAAAATTAAAATGCCATAACTATTTCATTTAAGTAGAACGGCAAATGCTTTTAATTCTGGTGAATTTTGGCCTAGAATAAATGAACTGCAATTAAATTGTTCTCATTATCAATAAAAATATCTGTAATTCATTCAGTTATGCTCCTTGCCGCTCCACACTGGTCGGAAACGCCATCACGAGAGGCCACGGGCGATTCCGGAGTTTCGGATTATTTTTTATATAGATCGATTTGAAATTGATCAAATTATTATACTTAGGCCAAAAAAACTAATCCGGGTGACCAAAAATAGCTGTAATCAGCCCCCGAAGATGGGGTATCCCAGAACTCGGAAACTGACGTGGAGCAAGAGGTTTCTTGAGCCAGATATTCAGAGTCTTATTGTTGATAGACACCAAATTGAAATCCCATATATTATGCATCAAAATGTTCGTTATGAAGTTGCCGACTGGTCAGTGCAAAATTTTTGGTATACATTTTCCCTAACTAAGATGTACTATAGCTTTTTTATGAAGGCTCTCCTACAGTGATTCTGGAATATAACTGCAAAGTTTAGGTAAGGAAACAACAGGTAGTCCCATCTAGTTCCACTCTGATTTTTTGTGAAATGAAGTAGGATTTAAATTTACACCAGGGCAACATAAAAGCTAACTGCGCATATTTGCGCAAAATTTGCAGGAGCCGCTCTTCCTACCCAACTACCGCCCGCCCCGCCCCAGTTTCGGCTCGGCCGCCGCGCCCGGCTTACGCTGACCTGTGTGGCCTGCACGCATCCATGCGTAGTTAACTGGTCATTAAAAACAGATGCGCTTGAGTTTATGAATTTTGTGAAAAGCGCGTTTTATGTATGCATTTATGTATGTATTGACATCAAAAGCCTCCCACATTTTGCGTGGCGATTACGGCTTGCATTTAGAGAGCCTTGCTATTGACAACCATCACTCGGCTGAAGAAAGTGGAAATTGAAACCTTCGTGAATATAAGGCGCTGCAAATATAGGACACCTGTCACTGACGTCGAGTTACCTTGGGCCGTCTTTTTACATTAGATCACAATTCCGGTATTTAACCCTGACCGGACCGATTGGTTTTCTACATTGACCGGGGAGGGTTGGTACAACTCCCTCGCCGTTTCGCCTCTAATTGAGCTAGAGCCTCGCGGAAAAAAAAACAAGCTTGTGTGCCGTTATAAGACGCAAAAATTAGGTACTACCCGATTTTAAGGTCTTAGGTCAGCCAGTGACCTCTTAGGTCAGGTAAGTGCCACAAGGCAAGGGCTCGGTTTCAGGTTAATTACTTTGCCAAAAATTTGTCGCACTGCCGCGATTTTGGCATAATCGTGTTTGTCTAGCTCAGGCGCGTTGAATGCTATACTTGGTGTTCGGGTGAAGGCAACTTAACCCTCGCCGGCACAGGCCATTTTGCGTCCTTCGACGGCACAAGGGGGGGGGGGCTTACGGGGGTTGGTACGACCCCCCCCCCCCCTCGCGTTTGGCCCCTGATCGAGCTAGAGCCTCGCGGAAAAAACGAACGAGCGTGTTGCCCGTCACAAGAGGAAGCCGATGATACCCAATTTTAAGGTCCTAGGTCATCGGGTGACCTTCCAGGTCAGGTCAATGACCCGAAAACTGGGAAAATCGGGACCTGTTAGAAAGTCGTAAATTGTGGCTGCTATGTGGTTTTCCGGGGTGCTGATCACGAATATCGTATTAGTTTTGATCAGAGATGATGTCTTTAAGCATTTAGACCAGGTCGGGTAGGTCAGGTCAGGTCAACCGGTAGGGGTTGTGACGGGTATTCGTAATACGTGTCAACCGCCTCTGACAGCTTCGTAACATGTTACGAAGGCGCCAAAACTACTTCGTAAATGTTCAAATGGTTGCTAAATTAGAATTCAGCTCCAAAAACTAGCCTAGAAACATGTAAAACTCGAAAAAACGAACCGAGGTCACCCGAGGTCACCAAAGGTCAATGATCAGACCTGACCTTCAGGTGACCTTGACACCCATCCTAATGTATGGGAGCAACATCAAATCACATGTTTGAACGTTTGAAACCACGAAAAGCTTGCAAAAGCGCGGCTAATGCGAGCCGACATACGCCGAATCGCGATTTCGGCCAAACATGGTCACGGAAAAGAGGTCACAGGTCAAAGGTCATTGGGGTCAGGGTCATGAAATTTTCAGGGTAGGTGTAAAATCGATCAATGCGAAGGTACTGAAAGTTTCGTCGCGATCGGCCGCTTTTTACGCGAGTTATTTGCGAAAAACCTTAGGGGGGGTTGCATCAACCCCGTGCCGGCGAGGGTTAAGGTGTTAACCTCGGGTCAAGGTCAGGTCGGAGCCCCTCAGGTCACGAAAATGGTTGAAGGAGGTCATATCGCATAGCATTCGATTCGGCAGGTCTTCCTGAGTCCAATGGTGGCTTTCCCGACTCTCTAGCTCCATCTGATCAGGAGTTATTGACGAAAAACTTACATGGCCTTAGTGACGTCATAAATGACGTCACGCAAAGTCAACAATGCTAAAGTCAAGCACTGGACCTTGCAAGGAGTGCATGAAACCATTCCCGGTGCCCGAATAGCAGCTCCCAATTTCCCTTGTTGACTTAAAGTGGTGCTAGATCCTGTATTATACTCAATTATGACGTCATAACTTAACAGATTTACGTCATATATTTAGTGCTTGACATACAAATGATTACGGAGCGAGCGAAGCGAGCGGAGTCTTTCCTTAGATTAACGGAAATTTCTGAGTATGAGCGCCGGCCGGCCGTGGTCACGGTTTTGCGACGCTTATATCTCAGCAACCACTTGACCGATTTACACGCGGTAATTTTTGTAGGGTAGCTTCATTCCTTCTACCAAGTATTGGACTATTCCCGATGCATGTAGGTGACCCCTTATGCACGTGCCACGTGCAAAACGAAGAGGTGTCACTTTTGTAATTGTTGCAATATCTCGGTAACTACTTGGCCGATTGCGCTGAAAGTTGGCATGTAGGTAGGCACCCACTAGGCAATGCATATCCATGTGCCAGAGTTGGGGTGCTGCTGCACGTGCGCACGTGCAGGGGTCGATTCTAGATCTCGAGAACGGCTGGACCGATTGCGCTCAAATTTGGTACACGGTTACGGAGCAGTTAGTAGGGTGCTGTGCACAAGTCAGTTGGGAACCATTTTGCACGTGCGCACGTGCAGGGTGCCGCTTCCAGATCTCGAGAACGGCTGGGCCGATTGTGCTCAAATTCGGCACATCGCTAGAGACCGGTTAGTAGGGTGCCGTGCACAAGTCAGTTGGAGGTACCCCCACGCAATTTCGCACGTGCAAGGCCCACCCTCTCGCTCGCTCCGTTAGTCGCCCCATAAGGCGCTATACTGGTAGCTTACATATGACAGAGAAGGTATGCAAAGTTGATGAAGTTTGCTTCACTAGTTGTGGAATAACAAGCAAAAAACTTTTGCGGAAAGGCCGCTGGCCTCTCGCTGGAGCGTTTCCGACCAGTGTGCGCTCGTTTCCTGTTTCAGCCTTTTATTTTTGCAATAGATAATGGACCGTACAGCGCGCAAACCGATCACCGAACCATCGTTGGAAATTGGAAAACGGGCATTATGAAGTTTTAATAACCATAGAAAATACATTTAGGTAGGACATTAAAATATACCAATTCTTAACCCTATTCCTGGCGGGGGGCCTCAGGAGCCCCCCCCCCTGAGGTTTTTTGGTTATTTCTCCCAAACGCTTTGAGCTAGGAAGCTCAAATTTTCTGACTTTTACTAAAAGGCTTTTACGCAACATTTCTGAAAATTTTGAGTTGATCTGACCTCAGGTCAGGTCACCAGAGGCGGTTTGGTGACCCTACCTCAGAAAAGTTTGCAATCACGCCAGAGCTAGAGTTTTTGACCGATCAATTTCTTCTCTTCAGGCTTTAGTTAGGGTACCAGTATGTGCAATTTGTATATCTCAGAATTTTCATATCTGTGACCTGAGGTCAGGCCAGACTCGTGACCTTTACATTGCAAGCCTATGGGAAAATATTGAAACGCCTCCTGCTTCGTGTAAACGAGTCAAAACCACCCAATTCTTTCAGTATTATGGAAGATTATTTCATCGGTGATGATCCTGGTGCCGCTAATTGACAGGGGCACCGGCAAAGGTCATCTGAGGTCATGTGACGTCATAAATCGTTTTTCTGTAAATAAATCACGACATGATGGTGCTAAAGACTTGTAAGTGGTACCAAACTGCTCGCCTGGTCAAGGCGCGTCGTTTGGTATGCAGCATGACCATACCCCACAACCTCATTGATGAATGACCTGACCTTGACCTCAGGTCAAATTTCAGATTGACCTGTGAAGGTCATCACATACTTATTTCGCATCGCCTCGGCGAGAGCAACAAAAAATGTATTGGTTTTATGTCTCTATGTTTCTTACTTTAAAAGTTACATAGGTAACTAATTCCAAAACATTTTATCGTTGATGACCTCTGGTGACCTCAATATTGACCTGACCTGAAAATGTTTTATGTAAAAGTTGTAGATCTTTAAACGACCTATCAAACGCCGTTCGCCGTTTGTCGCTGCGATGTGTAGTTTTTGAGATCTGAAGGGGGGCCGAATCGGCCCCCCCCCCGCCAGTTTCTTGTCCCGGCGGAGCCCGCCAGGAATAGGGTTAAGACATAACCTTGAAGCATTATCAAAATTTTCCCCGATAGCAATACAAAATACATGCCCATTTAGAGGTTAAAATACCCTTGTATTAACAAGTGAATTATACACATTCATCCCCACCAACAACTAACGGGAGCTCTGTTGCACATATAAGACGGCAGGATCACTTCATCCCGGCACGTCTGCTGTCACTTTACTGGCCCAGTCCCTAAGACTCTTTCTCTCCACACATCAGCGGTAGTGCAGTTCGTCGTGGTCCGTCTCCCGCTCCGCCACCACGCTGTTGTCGAGCCGGGCCAGCCGGGTGGGCCGGTCGCGCGGCGCGTGCGAGTCGTAGTCGCTGTAGCTCTGGCCGAACTCGCTGATGAAGAGGGCTGGCAGACGGGGCCGGGGCGGCGCCCTGCCGCGCAGCACCACCGGCCGGCAGCGACCCAGCATGTCAATCTGCTGTCCGACCGGACAGGGCGCCGGCCGGACCACGATCACACCCAGCCAGCGGCCTGCCGACACCGACACCAGGGCCGTGATTGTCGGCCAGTGGATAGGGACACCCACCGAGCCGGACAGGCAAAAGAAAACATTGTTAGGTGGAATGACGTAATCTAACTACCTGAATGATTTGATGCAGTTAACTAGCATGTTAGGCTATTGCGCAATCAGGCTCGCAATGTCGGGCACAAAAGGATTGGAATGCAAATTTGTACCTTATACCAGGTATGACGAGTCCTAAATTAGATTACCCCTTCCATATCCGAGGAACCACTAACAGCGTCACGCGACATTGAGGCCGAAATCGGCCTCATCACCCTTCTAAAATTGCACATGTCGCATTCCTTCACGTTGGGGGTACTATTAAAAGACATGCCTGATGTTTACAATGCAAGCACACCATGGCGGAAGGCAGTTCTACATAGAAAAACAAAACAAAACAATAACAACTTACTCATCACATATTTGTGCGTCCGGCGAATGTCATGAGAATCGTGAGAGTGACCTTTGATGTCCCCTGGAAATGCGAAACGTCAGCAGAGTGTACACGAAACTCACGATGAAAAGAATCGCTATCCAAAACAAGAGACATCCTACGCGCGTACGCATAGCCGGTAGGTACGAAACGGCATATTTAAAAAGGCTGTCTTTGTTTATTGTTAAAAGATACAATATTAACAATTAGGAAAATGACACTTGATGCAGCCTCAGAAAATAAACTCCTTCATGTTTCCACTTTTACCATGAGGGTTAACTCACGTTTGGTCGTTGGGCTGAGCATCGCTTTCCTCGCGCCTGCGGCTGGCGGACACAGCGTCACGATCACCGCCGCCGTCAGCAGGAGGCAGACGCGGCCAGCGGCCATGCCAGCTAACGACGTAGGCAGAGCTCCGAGCTGACAGCCCGGGCGAGCATTCCCCGCAGTCCACGGAGTCGTGATCTCCGACTGTTGTCAGAGAACACGGACGAAAGCGATGGTGACAGCGCCAGGTGTTCCAAGCTCCTCACGATCACCAAATATCCACTCAGTGTCTCGGGGTGCAGTGTGCAGCGGAGAGGCGCCCTGCGCCCTGCGCAGCGTCTCGGTCGAGTCTGCCCGGCGGCCGGCCGCCCGCTGACCCACCCAACTCTGCCGAACACGCCCCACTCACGGCTCACGGCCCCACGACAGCACGGCCGGACGTGAGGGCGCCGCCGCCCGGCCGCGTCAGTCGTGACGCACCGCAGCAAACAATGCGTCATTATTGTATCGGATGGCGCCGTGCGGCCCGTGTGAGAGCTCAGACCCTCGGCGCCACCCGAGCCGACCAGGCCCGGCGCAGCAGCGGGCTCCGCGCGGCGTCCGGGCGCCCGGTGTCGGGTTCGGGCCGCGGCGCACCTCCCAGTTCACCCGGCCAGAGGCACGGTCCCGGCCCAGTGCAGAATGTCAGTGCCCGTCAGCAACGGTAGATTGTTTGCCTGTTGTAAACACTGCTGCAAGGTCATTCGCTGCACTGTTTTTACAAGGACATTTACTGTACTGCAGCTTGCAGGGTCACATTTGCTTTAAACGATGTAGCATGTGATGCGAAATACATTTGAACCTTTCAAAAGATACATTTGAACCTTTTCAGTCCATTCAAAAGATACAGCAGGCTGATCACCGATGCAGGCCGCTTTTAGATACAGCGCGACAGCATCATCACAAGAAAGTAGGTATATTAACAAATCAAGACATTCTGTTTCACAACCTATAAGTACCATACTCTTAAACAGGAATAAGAGCGTCGCCGCCTGTGAGTAAAGCGTGCTTGGGCAATAATTCGTCTCGACTAATCGACCCTCAATTTCTGTGCCGCAGGATACGGCCACATTGCGCCCAAAACGGACTGGGGCAAGGTGGTCACCATGCTGTACGCCATCCTGGGCATCCCGCTCATGTGCCTCTGTCTCTCCAACATCAGCGAGGGCATGGCGCACTCATTCAAGGTCGTCTACTGGAAGTGCTGCTGCTACATCTGCACCAAGAAGCCGAAGAAGCGGCGCCGGCGCAGGGGAAGACGGGGGTGAGTTTTTATAGTGTCACGCGTAGATGGAAGACACTGACGCTGCCGCCACTGCCAGTGCCCGTCACGGTCGGTGATATGCTCCTATTATGTAATGACAGACGCTCGTATGGTTGGCAGACAGGAGCCCGGTTCAAAAGGCTCAGCCCGTGCCGGAGAACAGCGCCGGAAGTGGAGAGTTACCCGCGGGCCGCGGCGGCGGGGATCGTGTGTGTTGGCCCGGGGAAGGGCCATCGTACCGGGCTGACGACCCAACCCGACCGGCCCGGACGCTGTTTACAGATGACGTCACTTGCTGAAGGAGCGTGACGTCACCAATCGGGGGATTGTGTTACTCATTGTCGATAGTGAATGGCTCGGTTACGTTTCCAGGCCGCGGTGGTGGTGTTTGCTGGTGGACTCAGTAAGGTTGCTATGCAACGGATATTGAATAAGCACTTACAAGCAAAACGGAGTGGAGTAGGTGCATGATATTTACGCATACCAGTCATAACTCATAACTGGGTACGACATTATTACCATAAAAAAACGCGAAATTTCACCCAAAACAATAATCATTGACCTTTTTTCCCAAGTCCATCCAGTTCGCCGCGCCACGCCGCATACCGATACCGCGACAGTGCGGCTGTTTATATGGCGTTGGCGACAGGCAAGAAGCCGACTGGATTGGTAGGCTGTGCCGCAACACAGTGAAGTAATGCGGCACAGTGGAGTACAGACGAGCAGCGCAATGGACTTGGGAGCAGCGGTGGTTAGCTGGGAAGTGGGAATGCTTGTGATTTGCTACCAATAGAGGAAATGATTTATAGTAAGCAATCCTGCACTCGCAGTCCTGCACAATCCTATCACAACGTCCCGTATCCTATCCGTATCCTTGCCATAGTATTTAACGCATCACCTCATAATCACCTCAACTGAAAAGCCACGATGCTTGTGGATGTTGTTGTATGTATAAATAAATAAACAATATAAGATAACAAGAGTCAGTCGGACATATCATTTATCAGAGATATAGTATTCTACATTTACGTTTTAGTGTGGATATTTATGCTAGTTAGCTTTAAAAGTCACGGATTTGCCGGTGTTTGTACAGATAAGTACCATTACTTTTTCTGTTTACAGATATTCCTCTTCACGGTCGATCCGGAGGTCGGCCAAAAACGCCGACGGCGCGGTCAGCGAGAGTGCCTTCTCGGCTTCCTACGGCGACCCGTCCTCCGAGACGGGAGAGTACAGGTCAGTGATCGACGGGCGACTGTTGGTAACACGTGGAAAAGGGAGACTACAGCGATGCCGCATTTCTCAATGTCACGAATAACCCAGACCTTATTTGTTTATTTGTAATTAATTTATTGTTAATTTAGTAAAACCTAAGTAATTTATTTGATCATTTGTATTTGGCACGATGGAGATCAAACGTCCAATCATGATGGGTAAATTAATTTTTTTCCATCTTTTCCTCTTTGGTCTCGTCCTGTTTCTATCCGCTGCTCAACTGAGAAATAAGCTTCACGGGAATGCTTCACTGACTACCCCGTTACCTCGCCTCAGTGAGCGAACACCATCCAGCAGATATCATACTGTCCCTCACACTGCTCCGACATGCCGTTCCAGGATAAATGATAACAATAACACGTCAAATGTATATTTAAACACACAAAGCTTTCGGTATGAAAATACCTTGATCACTGTGTTAACAAAAATGAGGACAGAAATGAGGACTCTGATCACTGTGTTAACAGAAATGAGGACAGAGTCCTCATTTCTGTCCTCATTTCTGTTAACACAGTGATCAAGGTATTTTCATACCGAAAGCTTTGTGTGTTTAAATATACATTTGACGTGTTATTGTTATCATTTATCCTAACTGTCTTGGATATTCTACATGCCGTTCCAGACTCCCCGACGACGTGGAGCCGGCATCACCAGACGCTTACGGCCGCGCGGCCATCCACAACCACCGGCTGCCGGCCGACGGCAAACGCTCGGCGCCCTCGGAGCGCTCCAAATCGTCCGACGAGTTGCCGGCCACGCGCGCCGAGCCGGACCCTGCCGCGCTGCAGCGCACGCCCTTCTTCCAGAACCGGTACGCGCTGAGCGAGGCGGACGCGCTGCGGGACGAGCCGAGCGTGGGCAGCGGCGGCTCTGTCAAACTGTCGCCGGCGCGCACCGACTCCGCGTACGGCCGCTCGCTGAGCAGCGGCGCGCGCTCGGTGCGCGGCGTGCCGGCCGGCCGGCCGGCGCCCGAGCGCGTCAGCAAGCTGCACCAGACGTTCGACGAGGAGGACGACTCGGACGGCTACGAGGACTCGGACGACGAGGACACCTCCGAGACCAAGTCGGTGCCCATCTGGCTCTGCGTGCTGCTCGTCGTCTCCTACATCGTCGGCGGCGCCTACCTGTTCAAGGAGCGGGAACAGGAGGCCGGCTGGACCTTCCTCGACTCGGCCTACTTCTGCTTCATCACGCTCACCACCATCGGCTTCGGCGACTTCGTGCCCGACCAGAAGCGCAGCGGCCGCGAGGGAGAGGCCATCGCCATCACGTCTCTCTACCTGCTCTTCGGCATCGCGCTGCTGATGATGAGCTTCAACCTGGTCCAGGAGGAGGTCATCAGTTCCGTCAAGAGCGTCGCAAAGAAGCTCGGCATCATCAAGGACGACGAGGACGAGTACGATGACTACTGAGCAGCACTGGATGCTGAGGACGACCAGCGGGCTTCTCAGGGTGTCGAGGATGTAAGAACAAAGGCGATGCCTGTCGAGCAGTTTTCCCGACTGTAATCGCCAGCCCCTGAGTACAGGAGCATGAGACGCCGGCGGATGCTCATCGCGGAGTTCGACAGAAAGGCCAGGCGAATGACAAATTCAATGAGTAGTGTACAATACATTCGTGATGTAACCCACGGGATGTGGATGAAGTAGGCCATTATGCCGTGATCTAACAAATGGTGGAATGCATGTAGGGATGCTGAAAATGTAGCGATCCGCAGCTATCAGAAAGGTACGGCATGGCTGCTCGAGTGTTGGTTCATACGCTGGTGAGGAGCACCCCATCTTTCTGGGAACTCACGGATAGGACGGTCAATGAACGGCCGTTTATAACATATGTAGTAACGAATTCAGCTTTTTGTACTGTGGCGTGTGCAATGTGCATTGTGCATTTACCAAAGATGAGCGCCGCGAAAATTTACGAAGGCAGAGAGCTGCATGTGCCTTTGACGACGAATACAGGGTGTCCCAAAAGTTCGTTCTCACCTAAATTTTACGTTTTTAGGCTCTCTTGCTTAAAGGCACGCTGAAATTGGTTCGTAATTGAGCTTACGTGGTTGCCATGGCTAGTAGAAATATGCTCCACAGTAGCTAATTTCTGTAGACAAAATAGTTTTTGCTAGAGAGCCCGCTTCCTACAGAGACGGCTAACGCCGCAACATAGAGGTCTCTGATACGGGTACGTCTCAGTATTTAGTCAGCACGTGACCATTCGCGACGATTGAGGGTGATTGAGGCCTACCAGTCTGCAGCCAATGTCCATCGCTAACTGGACGCACAGTCAGCAAGTGACGCCGATGATTTGTCGGGAGTCAATCACTGCAAGTTTATCCTCTTTCCAGTCAGCCCTCAGGAGTGAGCCAAGTGGCCAAAACTGTGTGGCGCCAAAGTGGCCATCAAAAAGGTCAACGGGTTAGAAAGTTGGTAAGCAGACTTTTCAGGATGGATTACCAGCTGTTTAAGAGTGTTCTTTCGGGGTACATAACTCAAGGTGACTTAAGCTTTGCTTACCGGAGCGCACAAAACAGTCAAAAACGTCTTAAAATGGCCAAACATGAGTTTCGTTATGCCTTAGGCTAAACAAAACTAGAGGGCTGATGACATCAACCAGGTCATCTGGACTAACTAGTCCACGTTCTAGATGAAACACCCGTCCAAACCCGAAAACAACCCCATAAGGGCGAAGAAGGAGGCCTCCGTTTCGTCCCGTTATGCTCCTATGCAAAAGGCCAGGGTCACTGTGTTGTGGGATTATAGGCTTTCTGGAGTTGACCAAGCTGCAAGTGGCAACCCAGAAACAGTTTTGGGAAGCAGAATGCTTTTCCAAGAACATCTAGGAAGATTTTCAGCCCTCAAGCTGAACTCGAACCGCGAGTATGAACACATTTATAGAGGAGAAAATGGCATCCGGGAGGTTGTAGGCCCATCTTCAGGCAAGACAGTGCATCAGTGCACAGGTCAAGCAAAGCTTAAAAGCGGTGCAAGGAGACTGTGACAGGCGTTTGTGGCAAGATCACATGCCAGGCACTTAATCGGATCAAAATTTCATAAAAAATGGTTGCTTATGCTGAAATTGAGGCTCGTCGAAGCGTAGCGCTGTTCCAGCCTCGAGGAGCTCACGGCGCATGTCAAGTCAGTCTGGGTTAACTTAAAGCCTGCTATGCAGCCAAACATGCCGGTTGGCATGCCGCTGCATGTATTCATGTGTTTGCCTATGAAATGGGGAGCACATTGAGGGGCCATAAACATATCAAAACGCAATGTACTCTGTTTCGCATGCAAACATAATGTGAGAACGAACTTTTGGGACACCCTGTAGGTATCATATCGTGAGCGAAATGAGAGGTGCGTTGTGTGCGCGACGCACGTGTGTTTCCGTGTACGAGTATTCGCGGGAGAACTTTGCATGCGTGTGCATAATGATGGATGCGTGAACGCCTGTGAGTATAAATGCTTTGTAAGTAAGTTATGCGAGTTCTTTATAAAGCATACAGACATGCATATTGCGCACCGACGCTTGCGATGAGCGCACTATGTAATGTATAAATAGGTAAAAATGCACCCCTAAATAATCATGTAACTATACCGTGCAGTGAGCAGTGAACAGAGTGATGGTCTGCCCGTTCCCCGTCCGCCGACCACTGTCCGTCCCAGAGGCGGCTGGTGCCAGTTGGGCTCCAATGCCGACTGTCTGTACATAAACCCCAATACACCGACCACCCGACTGAGAAATACCGTGCCTTGCATCGCTGTATTGTATGTATGTATTGTACCTCCGTCTGCACCGAACAGAGTGCATGCATACAGCGCACGCAGGAGCCACACGTGCTGTTACATGCAAACACATCGACAACGAGTTATCGAATACAATGGCATGTTAGAGACCGGCCGAGCGGGTAAGACTGACGGACTGCCGGCCCGAAAACCGGTGGCCACAACTGAGATGGAACAGAACGAGTGAGCGCCTCCGGCATGAGTGGCCGTGTATTGGACCACAGCAAATCTGAGCCCGGCCTTGGTGGCACGCAGTTCGTCACGAAGGCTCGCTCCCGGCGCGTGTTTACAGGATCGTACGAAGCTACCATGCACTGAGCCTGTGTAGTGTGTAGCCATTGAGCCACCAGCGGCGCTCTCAGGGCTCACTCGTATCGCGTTGTACTCGCAAACCGCTGTTTGGCATTCAGTCCGACTGGCTTCTCCGGCGGACTCGCACGGTACGCACAACAAGGTGCTACAAACACACTGCGATGAGGTGACACTCAGACCGACACAACAGGACGCAGGCCGCTCGTATAGCGCAGCTCGGGTCCATATTGTATTGCATATGGCGTAAAAGGTATGTAGTCGTAAGTACCAACTTAATCATATTGTGGGCGACTTCTATGTCCAAAACGGCACCAAACTGTGAAAGGTGTTAAACTGTCCGTACATATCAAACGGAAAAATACAACATGCAAGTTGACACAGTACACCCTCTATTATGTATGTACATATCTAACTAAGATTACAAATGTACCTACTTGATCTGGCCAATGCATGGATATGGAGGAAAACAAAAACAACGAAACATACTCCACCCGAGCGGCTCTTCAGCGCATGTTGGATAAAAGAACAGAGATGGTAAGGGCAGCTCATCGCCCATTGCGGAATCCACACGTTCTCTAAACAAATTACATTGTATCTGTGCCCGATCAATAAAAAATGCACAAAAAGAGCGGACTCTGTTCCCAGCATATATGAGCACCAGTTCCTGTTCTGGACCTATCGAACGGAAATCGAACGGGCTTGCTGGTATAGAAAATGCATATTTTGTATTGTTGCCCTGATTTAATTCGCATGTAGCTCACAAAAGTATCGTGTTGCTCGATTACATCAGATCACGACTTAAAACTAGTACTCACGTGGCATAAAACATCAAATGTGCAAGCGATGCGGAACACCCAATTAAGCAGCGAAACACGCATGTACAATATAAGTGCATGTACAGAGCAGGCCATCCGGCATTGAGCACTGCTCCACTGCCTATCTCAATGCAGCCGTTTGTCTGCGACATAAGGCGGAACAAAGCACGATCCAAGTTCACAACTTAGTCTACCTACTCACGGTCTCGATACAAGATCAAAATTCAGGCAGCACAACACACCTTTACAGAACAAAACATAAAACAAGCCTGCGTCTATGGCCGTTTCCCAATGTCTATTTTTATGACCAATGCATGTGTCCACATGGTAAGGACGGTAGAGTCACATGGACGGACCGCCGGGCATTGAATGGGAAAGTGAACTGTACCTAACTAGACATGGGACAGGATTGTCAACTGTACCCAGTCATAGGACAGGGATGTGGGGCGGGTATAGGACTTTATAGCGTTGCCGGCGCTCGACTCATTCTCAGCTCAAACTCATCTCACACTCAGTGAACGGAACGCAGGCCCCAACGGCACACGCGTCTGGCACACGGGTTACCGCGGCCCAGTCTACACGCGTCTGGCACACGGGTTACCGCGGCCCCAGCGGCACACGGAGACGGAGACATTACGGGTGCGGTGTGGCCATAGATGGATGGACAGGTGGCGGTGTAAGAACACAACCATTGCAGATGAGTTTAAAGTGGATGGATCCCTTGTGTTGTATTTACGTATTGGTATTGATGCTTCTGCGTAACTGTTCAATTTTGAAATCAATTTCATGATGAATGTCGAATATATTGCACTACACAAAATTTCAGTAGCGGTCAGCTAATGAATCTAGGACATCTTAGGCGGTAAGGTAGGAAGACAAAAAATTGAGTATTCTGTTGCAAGCACAACGGCACATCCAGGAGTAATGCGTTTAGCGATCTACGGGTATAAGCATCGCAGCTCCCTCCACTGAACGGTATTTAGGCAACAGGGTTTTACGCCTAAATCGGTTCTAAATAAACGAAAAATCGTTATTATATGGTTTGACTTAGTTAAAAATAATTAGGCTGCATGATTTAAATGTTAGTCACCTACCAATTTTCTGGTTTCTTTGTTGTATATTTATGAGAATAGCTGACACGTACTGTTTGGAAAAAATGCATGAGATTTATATGTTTGTCAATAAAATATGAATTTCCTTCCTTCCTGATATGTCATATTATAATACCTGAACACGTCCTATTACACTGCATATAAATGACATTCTAGCTGACCATTTCACTTCTACATAACTCTGAAAATCTTAGAAATATTGAGAGCCAAGGAATTTCGCGCCGGGATCAGAAAACGGGAGCAAAAAAATGTTCATGAAAACAAATGTTCAAAAAAAATGTTCCATTGAATATAATTCAGACTGCAGAAGTGCAGAGCGAATGTTTAAACGCCTTCGTAATTCATCGAGATGAAGCTAGGGTGGCGAACTGCTACCTTCTTCATTGTTATGAAAAAACACGCTATTTTTTCATCGGTCATTGTACATCGTTGACCCTTTCCAAACGGCAGCCCTACGAATATATTAAATCAAATGGGGTCTCGAAACATGATGAATAAAAATATGTCATTGAAGCTAGCAGCCAGCTGCAGCATTTAGAATAAGGTACGTGGTCTCTACCGAATAACCTCTAGGCGACTATCTTTAGTTGGCAAGGTTTCAGACCAATGAGACCTCTAAAGCAGCTAATGCCGATGTGGCCTGAACGGCTTCTACCGCTACGCAAGCCTACCCTAATAATGAGGCAGTGAAAATACAAGCAATCCACTCGATCCAGGCCACATGATTTCCTAAAGTCTGATCACAAAGTTGACCGGCTGGTAGGGGCGGCACGGCAGTGGAGGACCAGCACGGGTGCAGAGTAAGTTCAGCACGAGGGAGGCGGCGAGCAGCCCGGCGACCGGGGCCCGCGGGCAGACAGAGGCAGCGCCGCGGTATAGGGAAAAACTGGACTGGCGAGGAGCGGGCGGGTTCCGAGTGGTGACCGGTGACCGGTGGCGGGTGATTAGAGACCAGTGCAGGCAGGTTAAAGCGGCGGAGAAACCGGCTGGGAGCGGCAGTGGGCCCTGGTAAGGGCGATATAGGGCCTTGATAGAGTGACAGTGGATCCCGATAGAGCAGCGGTGGGCCCGACCGACCCTCCCAGTGCTGACCGGCTGGGAGCATGCGATAGCAGCGGCGGCAGCAGCAGTAGCAGCAGCAGTGGCGACGGCAGCAAAAGGCACCAGGCGGCTCCGCGCGGGGGCTCGACACAGGGCCGCTCTAGGCGCTCCCCTGTGCGCCCGGCACCTTCTCCAGAACCTGTCGCAAAGGGGACAAACCATATCCCGTCAGGTCAACTGCACCACCACATACTGAACATTCAACATAGGACTACAGACGTTATACCGAATCCAGCCAGTAAAACGAACGGCTACAAATAATGCATCAACGCGGCAAATACCAAACAGTACAAATGGACATAGAGTTAAAACAAGCAAAGATTAGATAATCGTAATCGTAATCGTAATCGTAATCGTAATATATTTGAAGGCACATCCACTAGGTATAAGATGGTTTTTACGCACCCGAGTCAATTACAATGCATAAGACACATGAGATAAAAATAAAATGAATGAGATGTAAAATCACTCGCCAAGACAGTCAACCAACACTCATACATATATAAAACACCGCATACCTTCACCTTTCAATCATCTGGCCAAGCCTCAATGAGCAGTAGCTTCTTGAGGTTACGCTTGAAGGCGTTTCCGCTAAGACACCGTAAATCAGGAGGCAGCTGGTTGAATGCGCTGCTACAGTGTGCTAACATCCGTGCACCAGAGCATGTCCTGACTCTGTGGTTTTGAAGAAGGCCAGTCTGGCGGGTCTGGTACTGAGTATTGACATGCGAAAACATTGCTGCTATGTCGGACGGCAGGCCAGTCTCTAGGGCAGTTTTTACCAAACACAGTCTGTGATACCTCACAAGCTGCACCGCAGGCAGCCACTTGAGCTGTTGTAGTACATCGGAGATATGTTGGAATTTACGCCGGCCACTAATAACTCTAGCACAAAAGTTAAGGAGCTTCTGGATGCGGTTCAGCTGAGTTTTGCTACAAGACCCATAGATGGTGACACAGTACCGGATGGAGCTGACTACGAGCGCGTTTACAACATAAGCGACAGTCCAGGACGGTAAGACATGTTTGGAATGTGATAGCGAGATTAAAAGCCCAGTGCACTTCGCTACCAGCTGAGTAATGTGGTCCTCAAATGTGAGATACCGATCCATGGTGAGACCTAGGTTTCTGACACTGTCACTTTCAGAAATGATCGACGTGCCAAATCTAATTTGGATCGGCTGAATGTTTTTCAACATACCCTTGGTACCATGTACCATGAGTTGAGTTTTTGCCTGGTTAATTTTCATGCCGTTTGAGCCAAACCAATCGGCCAGTGCTGCAATTTGTTTCTCCATAGTTGAGATCATCTCATCCAGCTGATCCTTTCTACCTTTTACAGCTATCTGTACGTCGTCAGCATACTGCAGTATTGTTGCACCAGGAGCGTGCAAAGACAAATCGTTGCAAAAAATGGAAAACATGATCGGTCCGAGCGCTGTACCCTGAAAAACGCCCATCGGAATTGGTAGTGACTTCGATCGAACCAGCTGTCCATTCGTAGTGCGGTATTGCACTTGCTGGGTGTGGTTAGCAAGGTAAGACTCGAACCAAGCAGTGTCCACATTGTAAAGTCTGAGTTTGGATAACAGAAGTTCATGGTTGACAACGTCAAACCCTTTTGACAAATCACACAATACGACAAGTACAACTTCAGAGTTGTCCATGGCAGATAATATAAAATCCGATAAAACCGCAAGAGCAGTTTCGGTGGAATGCAGTCTCCGGTAGCCATGCTGGGTTGAAGACCATAGCTCGTGATTTTCAAAATATTCACTCAACTGCTGGTGCACAATACGTTCCACTATCTTTGAGATGCCAGGTACCACGGTGATTGGCCTAAATTTGGTTACATCAGACAAGTCCGCTGTTTTAGGTAGTGGCGTGACCAGTCCATGTTTCCATGGTTGTTGTACGCAGCCAGAGACCAGACTAGAGTTAACTAGGTGGAGGAGAATGTGTCCAATGCCATAAAAACACTTCTGATACAGATAGACACTGATACCATCTGTGCCACTCAGGGATGCGGAGCCGGAGCCGGAGTCGGAGCCGGAGCCGCCGGAGCCGGCATATTTTGCCCGGAGCCGGAGCCGGAGCCGGAGCCGTGAAACAATATAGCCCGGAGCCGGAGCCGGAGCCGGAGCCGCCAAAAAAGGGGGCGACTCCGGCTCCTTTTTATTTTTTGAAGAGGAAAATAAATAATTGACCTAGTTCGGTTTGACAGTATAAGGCAGTAAAACATATGGTACTATTGGTCTCAAGATAAAGGCCCAGGCGACCTGTAGTTTTGATGCGGTGAATACCCTCACCCTCGCCACAACTCGAGTGGGGGTGGCGCTGGCTGGTAGGAGGGGTGCACTCGGCCCGAGTTATGGCGAGGGTAAGGGTATTCACCGCATCAAAACTACAGGTCGCCTGGGCCCTTATCTTGAGACCAATAGTACGTCATGGGCCATCAAGTGAATGAAAAAAGCCGAATATCCCCAGCATCCCACAGTACGCAATCAACTTCCTGTCTGCTCCTCCCCCCCCCCCCCCACGTCTATTGCATCCCCAGAACATGAGGACCGGTCATCAGGTGACGGCCATTGTTTTGAAGCCAGTGCAGTGGACTGCGACTCCCAACACCGTCTCTTCCCACCCCACCCTACCCCCCCCCCACACCCCCACCCCCCAATGCAGCCGAGACGGGTGTCAGCTTACGATGGTTCAGTGAACTCCGATTCGCGGCGACTGCGTTTCCAATGTCCTTTCCAATGCTTTCTAGTCCTTTGTTCTGCCAGTTCTCTCCGAGGTGCGTTTGCGCGGGGACGCGGTGTGCCGGTCATGGCAAAGAGTAACGCGGCCGTATAGTCATAACATTTCGCCACGTGCTTATATACCCTTGTTCGCTGATTGCATGTGCTGTTGAGAAAAATAGCCTTAGTTGTTAAGTTGTACTGAGTCGGAGCCGGAGCCGCCGGAGCCGGAGCCGCCGGAGCCGGACCATTTTACTCGGAGCCGGAGTCGGAGCCGGAGCCGCCATAACATTTCACCCGGAGCCGGAGCCGGAGCCGGAGCCGATTTTTTTCTCCGGAGCCGGAGCCGGAGCCGGAGCCGTCTGAAATTTCCACGGCTCCGCATCCCTGGTGCCACTGGACCTAGACGGGTTTAGACTCGCCAAAGTACACATGAGAGAATCGATCGTGACAGGGCTGACATTAAATGAACAGGTGAGCACTCGTGGCAAAAGCACTGGCACTGAACGACTGGGCGGAGACACAGTTGCGGCAGTAGCAGGTCCAACGTTGACAAAGTGACTGTTCAGTACATCACAGTCTACCGTGGGCACAGCGGACGTTGTACTCTTCCCTGCACCTATCACTGACTTGAGACAGCGTCACATGCTGCCCCGGCCGGCCTCTACGATGCGGCGATGGATGTCATCCCGACTATCACGGCGAATAGATGCTCTAGTCTCACGATTGAGCCGCTTGTACCACTCACGATCACCCGATCTCAGCGCCAACCTGCGCTGATTCATCAGCGCCTGTGTCACGTCAGACACGCGAGGGGCACCAGGATTACGCAATCGCACACGACGCACCGGCGCAGCATGGTCGAGAAACGATGTGAATGTCGTGACGAATCGATACCACTTATCAGTGACAGACGGTGCTAAAAAGACGGGCAGCCAATCAAACTCAAACAGGGCGCTGTTAAAGTACTCAAAATTCAGTTTGCCGAGACAACGAGATGAAATAACTACCGGTTCATTCTTACGCTTGATAACACGAATTATAACTCTAGAGAAATTATGTGGACTGAAAAAGCAGTGAGTCACTCCACTACGACGTAGTTGGTTCACAGGCCTTACAGCGATCGAGTCTATAACAGAATTGGCAGGGCGATAGGTTGGAACTGTTGAATTGCACTGTCGCAGTTCATATGCTGTCAACAGCGATGAGAAACGTCGAGATTGTGGGCAAGAACGCTTTAACTGGTTCAGATTGTGGTCACCAGCTATCACAATTGTCCCGGGATGAGCGGCCAAGACGTACTGGATCTGGTGCTCCAAGTCGTCGATGTCTGCGGTGATCTGGGCGACTGTCTGGGTGGGGTGACGATAAAATGAGCATAGCGTAACGAGGCGGTGCGTGGGACTACTGATGATAGTCCAGATGGTTTCCAGGTTTGAGGCTCCACCAGAGTGGGGCACATCAATTACCTGGACACGTAGACAACGCCGCGCTAGCACTGCGACCCCACCTCTGCCGCGTGGGAGTCGACTGGTCACAGGTCTGTCACGCCGAACAAGTTGATAGCCATCGATGCTGAGTAGTCTCTGGGGAACATTGGCAGACAGCCAAGTCTCGCAAAGAGCCAGAACATCATATTGGTGGATAACCAGTCGGAGGTCAGGCAGGTGAGGCTTGAGCGACTGGACGTTTATTTCACCGATCAGAAGCTCACCAGACCGAAGTGCGGCGCCAGGGCGCCTCCACCTCGCCCCTCCCCTCCGACCGCGGCGGCGTGACCTCCTGCCACGGCGAGCTCTGCGGAGGGGGCGGGGCGCGATCAGCTGATCAGGTGACCCAGTGGTGGCGCCCAGTCCCGGGTCAAGGTCACCGGACCCTGGGAGCGGCCGCACGGAACACGGGCCGGTACCAGCGGAACGCCACGGGCATGGGGCCGGCCGGGCGGCAGTCACGAAAAAGGATGCGATGTAGATGAGAAAGAGGCATCTCAAAATCTCACGATGGTAGAAGAGCATGTTGATCTAGTTGAGTCAGTATAAAGTCGACAGCAATGTCGTAGGCAGCGATCGGTCGGCAGTGCTGTACCAGTTGGGTGGTAAAGCTGAGTCAACGAGACGGAGTAGGCGACGATCAGAGTCGCACTAACCACTCCGAATACGGATATCCGATATGAGATAACACAGTAGCGATGCAGCTGTTAAATTCAATCACTCAACACTTGCTTGCTCTCACACAATCACAGCACGGGAAAATAACACGAAAGGTGGGTAGCGGTGGGCAGGAGAGCCCGCGAGCGCGTCAGCCACCAGGCGCCGCGCTCAGCAAACAGATCGTCAGCCTCCCGACCCATATCTGCGCATACAGCTGCTCAGTGAGCCGGCGTAGGCAGCCCCCTGCCGCCACTGACCTTTGACAAGTCGACGCCGGTGAGGGCACTGATGGCTGGCGGCACCTGGCCCACCAGTCGGGTGATCTCAGAGGTGATCTTGTCCTGGCCGCCGAGCAGCACGATCTCTTCCACCTTGGCCAGCGGGGCGGCAATCTCCGCGGCCACCTGAGGACCAGGCGTGAGCGGGTGTCAGACTAACGGTCTGATACAACGGACACACACGGACAAAACGAGGCAAAGAACATGTGCGCACAAACTAGTACACAGCGACCCTGAGGATATACAGTATACACATTACACATGTCAGATAAGCAATGAATGCCAGTCATCAAGCAATGCCAGTGCATCTCAGTCACCATAATAACTTAACTGCCGTGACAACCAAGAAAAGCGTAACTCGCATTTTTTTCGATTTTGAGATTTTGATACCATTAGATAGAGAATAGCAATCTCCATCTTTCTGCAAAACCGTTTTTCGAAATTCGTATAATTTTTCGAGTTATATCAAATTTTATTTTTCGAGAAAAGCGTAAATGTTTTTCATCCTCCCTGACCGCAAGCAAAAAAAGCGTAACTACAAACGCAGCTATTAAAAAAGCGTATCTGCAGCGGTCAGGACGATGTGATAGGCAAGAAAAGCGCAACTAAGTAGTTGCGCTTTTCTTGCTTATCACCGCGCTGACTTTTACGCACTTGCGCTTTTTTGCCTTTCAGGTGAGTGCATAACACTTGGTAGAAGTTTAATTTTGCCAGGAAAATTTGCATTAAAAATATATTAAGCCCTTCTTGCTTGCGTTTGCCGCCTTTCTATGTTTCACCAGTATCATCTAATAGGTATCCTGGCGTTTGAATGGAGGAAAACTGCAAGATAAAAGCAACCAAAGTTCAAAACCACCAACTTGAAATAGTAGGTATAGGTATGGGGTGCCATGCCATACCCTAGACCAAGGCAACACGAGCGATATCCAATAGTTAACTTTATTTATTGTGGTGCATGCTCGCTGTGAACATTATCAGAAGCGTGTGCAAATTGCGGTTTAGGAGCAGACTTGGTCTCTGAAGAGGTTTAGAACTGAAGCGATAAAAAAAAAAAACTGAACAAAAGTCCACGTGCAGCTAAAGGAAAATGTGAAATCAGGAGTAGAGTCGAGCGAGTTCTGGTGAAATAGGACGATCAGGGGCGGGATCTTCCCACTTCCATTTCGACATCCCAGCATTAAGAGAGGCGACCCAACCCCACATGGCCGCCCGGCCAGCCAGCACCGGCAGAGCTGACCATATGGCCGACCGGCTTGCCCGGTCTGCCAGCCCCGACAGGGGCGAGACCCCAAGGCCTGACCTGCCAGCACAGACAGGGGCGAGACCCCAAGGCCTCCTGACCTGCCAGCACCGACAGGGGCGACCCCAAGGCCGCCCGACCTGCCAGCACCGGCATAGGCGACCCAACGGCCCCACGCCCACCCGGCCTGCCAGCACCGGCAAAGACGACCCCACGGCCGCCTGACCCGCCAGCATCGGCAGAGGTGACCCCACGGCCGCCCGGCCTGCCCGACCTCCCAGCACCGACAGGGGCAACCCCAAGGGAGCCTGACCTGCCAGCGTCGAAGGAGGCGACCCCACGGCCGCACGACCTGTCCGGCCTGCCAGCACCGACAGATGAAATCCCGCGGCCACCAGGACTGCCAGAACTGACGGGGGTGACCCCAAGGAAGCCTGACCTGCCAGCACCGAAGGAGGCGACCCCACGGCCGCTTGGCCTTGCAGCACCGGCAGAGGTGACTCCACGGCCGCCCGGCTTGCCCGACCCGCCAGCACCGACAGAGGTGACCCCACGGCCGCCCGGCTTACCCGACCTGCCAGCACCGGCAGAGGCGACCCAACGGCTGCCCGGCCTGCCAGCAACGGCAGAGGCTACCCCAAGACCGCCAGGCCTGCCAGCACCGGCAGAGGCGACAATGTGGCCGCCCGGCCTGCCCGACCTGCCAGCACCGGCAGAGGCGACCCCACGGCTGCCCGGCCTGTCAGCACCGGCAGAGGCGACAACGTGGCCGCCCGGCCTGCCCGACCTGCCAGCACCGGCAGAGGCGACCCCACGGCTGCCCGGCCTGCCCGGCCTGCCAGCAACAGCAGAGGCTACCCCAAGGCCGTCCGACCTGTTCGGCCTGCCAGCACAGACAGATGAAACCCCGCGACTGCGCGGACTGTCAGAACTGACAGGGACGCAAACGTGGCCGCCCGGCCTGCCAGCACGAAACAAAGCGACCCCACGGCCGCTTAGCCTTGCAGCACCGGCAGAGGTGACCCCACGGCCGCCCGGCTTGCCCGACCTGGCAGCACCGGCAGAGGCGACCCCACGGCTGCCCGGCCTGCCAGCAACGGCAGAGGCTACCCCAAGGCCGCCAGGCCTGCCAGCACCGGCAGAGGCGACAACGTGGCCGCCCGGCATGCCCGGCCTGCCAGAACCGGTGGAGGCGACCCGACGGCCGCCCGACCCGCCAGCACCGGCAGAGCTGACCATACGGTCGCCCGGCTTGCCCGAACTCCCAGCACCAACAGGGGCGACCCCAAGGCCGCCCGACCTGCCAGCACCGGCATAGGCGACCCAACGGCACCACGGCCGCCCGGCCTGCCAGCACAGACAGATGAAACCCCGCGGCCGCTCGGACTGTCAGAACTGACAGAGGGGAAAACGTGGCCACCCGGCCTGCCAGCACGAAATGAGGTGACCCCACGGCCGCCCGACCTGCCAGCACCGGCAGAGTTGAGCCCACGCCCTCCCGGCCTGCCAGCACCGGCAAAGACGACCTCACGGCCGCCTGACCCGCCAGCATCGGCAGAGGTGACCCCACGGCCGCACGACCTGCCAGCACCAGAAGAGGCGACCCAAAGGCCGCCATGCTTCCCGAAATGCCAGCACCAACATGGGCGACAGCCGACAACGTGGCCGCCCGGCCTGCCCGACCTCCCAGCACCGACAGGGGCAACCCCAAGGAAGCCTGACCTGCCAGCACCCAAGGAGGCGACCCCACGGCCACTTGGCCTTGTAGCACCGGCGGAGGCGACCCCACGGCCGCCCGAATTGCCCGACCTGCCAGCACCGGCAGAGGCGACCCCACGGCTGCCCGGCCTGCCCGGCCTGCCAGCAACGGCAGAGGCTACCCCAAGGCAGTCCGGCCTGTTCGGCCTGCCAGCACAGACAGATGAAACCCCGCGATTGCGCGGACTGTCAGAACTGACAGGGACGAAAACATGGCCGCCCGGCCTGCCAGCACGAAACAAAGCGACCCCACGGCCACCCGACCCGCCAGCACCGGCAGAGGTGACCCCCACGACCGCCCGGCTTGCCCGACCTGCCAGAACCAGAAGAGGCGACCCAAAGGCCGCTAGGCTTCCCGACCTCCCAGCACCGACAGGGGCAACCCCAAGGAAGCCTGACCTGCCAGCACCGAAGGAGGCGACCCCACGGTCACTTGGCCTTGCAGCACCGGCGGAGGCGACCCCCCGGCCGCCCGACCCGCCAGCACCGGCAGAGCTGACCATACGGCCGCCCAGCTTGCCCGACCTGCCAGCACCGAAGGAGGCGGCCGCTCGACCTGCCCTACTTGCCAGCACCGACAGGGGCGACCCCACGGCCGTCCGGCCTGCTAGCACCGGTATAGGCGACCCCACGGCCGTCCAGCCTGTCTGACCTGCCAGCACCGAAGGGTGCGACCTGACGGCCGCGATTGCTAAGCATGAAGCCTGAAGTCTTAGCATGAAAAGTCGTGAGCTATTTCGAAAGGCATCTAGGCATCCGTAATGGACAAAAGACGTTTTCGTCCTGGCGTATTTGAAACACCGCATATTCGCTGATACCATAAGATCTCGCAAGCAAAAGAAGCGTAACTACGTAGTTACGCTTCTTTTGCATTTCGCTATGGAGCCGCGCGCTGCACATACGGTTGCCGAACTGGAGTGAATGTAGTTACGCTTTTCTTCCCTACATGCCTCGCTGCAATTTGAGCATCGAGTGAAAAGCAAAAACACCTTACACCATTTTCTAGCAATATCTTATATGCCACGTAAAAAATATTAACACTGTTAGGTTCAGTGCAGTATCGCGAACAGTTTGACACCAAATTTTCTTTGATTGTTTAAGAACCGTCGATAATACAAGGTAAAACAGAAAAATCGCTCTCCTGAAAAATCGTCAAAAGCGAGTTACGCTTCTTTTCCTTTTCACGGCAATAAGCGTTCATACGTTTTCCATGACATAATTCGTAAATAACCCAGACATGACAGACACGAGCTCCATCCCGCCGCGGCGGCACACCGACCTTCGGCAGGGCCTCCAGCACCATGGAGGTGAGCGCGGCGTCACCGTACTGCTGGTAGGCAGCCGCCTTCATCCGCATCCGCTCGGCCTCGGCGCGACCGATGGCCTCGATGCTGCTGGCCTCGGCCTCTCCCAGCAGACGGGTACTCTCGGCCTCGGCTTTGGCCACCTCGACCGTCTGGTACCTGGGGGACGGGCACGGACGGTCACCGTCTGGGGGCGGGGACGGCGACGGTCGGTCGTCACCTCGACCGTCTGGTACCTGGGGGACGGGCACGGACGGTCAACGTCTGGGGGCGGGGACGGGGACGGCCGGTCACCGTCTGGTACCTGGGGGACGGGCACGGACCGGCCCCCGCCGAAGTTAGTTGGTAGCACTGCTGCTCCACGGCGTACATTTCCTACCAGCCCATAGGGTTTACATGTTAAATGGCCTGTTTTCGGCGAGCGATATCTCGGTCAACCTTTGAAGGAATCAATGGTTCTTAGTCTCAAATGATAGATCGATGAATTTTCTTTAGACAATGCCTCTATCATTTTTCACGAAACCCAGCCGATCTTCTACGGCGTACAGGGTAAAGATTTCTCTGCACGCCAGCACCCGCGATCCGCCTCTCCGATCGTCGGCGCGCGGTCCTCGGTAGCGCAGTCGGTAGCGTATCGGGCTACGGATCCGAGGGTCGTGAGTTCGAATCCTGGGAGCGCCGTGTGATTTCGGCTAGAATTGAATGATGTAGAATCTTGAATGTTTGCGTAATCAATTATTGATAGCTATTTGAATGTATCTGCGCACTAATCGGCCCCTAAAACCTGTTATTTAAAGGGACCCTCCCACCTTAACATTAGATTTGAGTTGAGATAGCCAAAATGGGGTCCCTGGCTCACAATTACCGGTTTCGGCACTCACAACATCGAGAAATGCCTTAAATCGGAAATATTGAATTTCAAAATTGCAGCATTTTGATTCAGAGGGGCTAATGCTTAGGAATACCCCTCTGAATGTGTGACGTCAGCGCAAATATCTAACGATTTTTAAATGTTTGACTAAAACGTTTTGTAGCACGCGATGGTATATGCTATTTGCGCGCAACATCTGCCGCAAACGCCGCACTTTTAAAATAAAGTCGCTAGAAACAGCGGAGATCCCAAAAAAAGTAAACAAAAGTAAAAGTCTAATATCTCGAAAACCGGTGAATATTTTTCGGTGAAATTTGGTAGATAGTTGTTTTCGCTCTTTCTGAACCGAGCGACATCACTTTCATGCCAATTCATAAACTTTTTTGAATAACTACTACTAAACAAAATACTAAAAAAAACTAAAAAAAAAACTACTAAACACATATAGTAGGTTTTCTAGTAGTTATACTAGAAATTCCTACCAAAGTTCGTCCTACCCTTCACTCAATATACCCTGGGCACGGACGGTCAACGTCTGGTACCTGGGGGACGGGGACGGACGGTCAACGTCTGGGGGCGGGGACGGGGACGGCCGGTCACCGTCTGGTACCTGGGGGACGGGCACGGACGGTCAACGTCTGGTACCTGGGGGACGGGGACGGACGGTCAACGTCTGGGGGCGGGGACGGGGACGGCCGGTCACCGTCTGGTACCTGGGGGACGGGCACGGACGGTCAACGTCTGGTACCTGGGGGACGGGGACGGACGGTCAACGTCTGGGGGCGGGGACAGTCGGTCGTCACCTTGACCGTCTGGTACCTGGGGGACGGGGACGGTCGGTCAACGTCTGGTACCTGGGGGACGGGCACGGACGGTCACCGTCTGGGGGCGGGGACGGCGACGGTCGGTCAGTGTCAGACTTGGGGACGGGGACGACTGGTCAGTACACGCTGCTGAATACACACCAGAAATATAGTCTCTCGATCACGCCGGTGTTGGGTCTAGAGATAAAGCAGTGCCTCTGGCTACTAATTCTGGTCATTAGAAGATACGTTTATTTAATATTCCTTACGATTTTTGGTTCTTTTTGGGAGTTACATTAAGAGCAAAATTCAAGACAAAGACTGCACATAAGATAGCGGCCGTACCGTTTTCCCTGCGCGATGGCCTCGACCTTGTAGCTCTCGGCCTCGGCGGGCAGTTTGACCGTGCCGGTGAGCTCCTTCTCCTTCCGCTTGATCTCCTGTGTCTCCACCTGGAGCAGCCAGCCGCAGAGGTCAGATAAGAGGTCAGAGGTCAAAAGAGGTCAAAGGGTGAGTGAGAGGTCAGCGGTGACAGGTCAGGGTTCAAAGGTTAACGGCCAGCGAAGGACGGAGAGAGGTCAACCAGAGGCGGGCAGTGACCTGCAGCGAGAGGTAAGAGAACAGCGACAGCACAGTGAGAGGGCAGTGGCAGCACAGGCCTGCTCCTCAGACACGCTGAACGTTAAACTCACGCTAAACCCAACTTTCAAGCCACATGCAGCGAGCAAACCCTACGCGACATAGCCGGCACGCCGGTCTGGCGGCGTGCTCACCTCGATCTGCTTCCTGCGCTCGATGACGTCGATGGCGATCTCCTCAAACCGGATCTTCTGCTTCTCCTTGGCGGCCTGCAGCTCGTAGGCCAGCTCGGCGTCCGCTTTCTGCGGACAGGACAACCACGGTCAGCTCAGTCGGCCAGTGAAAGGCGAAAAGGGGTGGTACTCTAAACACCAAACTGGTAATGCATATGTGCTGTTTAGTGTTTACCATAGTTGAACTTACGATTGATCAAATACGTTCACCAGCACATAGACCACTTCCACAGGAGTTAGTGCCGGTACGATAGTGCACCTCACAATGTAGCCCAACCCACCGGCAGGAGACTAGGCCGCCGTACTGTTCCCAGCCCGTATCGGCCGGGGTTCGGCAGCAGGCGACGGCCGCCGTGCGCGTGCTTACCGCCGTGTTGACCTCGCGGTCGAACTCCTCCTTCTGCAGTCGGAACAGCTTGGTACTGTCGGCCACCTTGGTGTCTGTGCCGTACTTGACATCCATGGCGGCCCGCTCGCACTCCGCCTCCTGTACGGGGTACCAACGGCGGAGTCACCACACCGAGAGGTGTTTGAAACAACGGGTATGAAACGCGTACGGCGGAACAAGAGTTTCGGTGTGCTTTTTTTTGAAATCCTATGAGGTACCTATAAAGGTAGACTGCAAGGAATATGATCCAGAGCGCAGTTCCGCGCATCCCTTTGTATCACTTTCTACCCATTTCTATCATCATTGCACTTTTCGATAAGACTAACTCTCACGACCCCGACTTTGACCCCGAGTCACCAGTCCCTTAGCCCCGACTGACCCTGACTAAGTCTGCGTTAGCAGCCCAGCCTGACCTGCGACTGACCCTGACTTTGGCTCGTCGCCAGCCCCTGACTCCCGGCTGACCCTGACCCATCAGCCTCTGACCCTGACTGACCCTGACCCCGACCAATCAGCCCCTGACCCTGACTGACCCGGATGCCGGCGTCTCGGACGGCCATGGCCACGCCAATCTGGGCGTCCCGTTTGACGACGGCCGTCTGCGGCCGGCCCAGCGAGGACAGGTAGTCCACGCCGTCGTACACGTCCTTGATGGTGAAACTGAGGATCTCGATACCCATACGGCCGACGTCCGGGGCGGCTACCTCGCGCACCAGGGCGGCGAACTGGTCCCGGTCCTTGAACACCTCCTCTACGGAGAGCGTACCTGCGGGCATCACAGCGTGAGAGGTCAGCGACTCCAGCGGAGACACGACGCTGGGAGGATGGAAAAACGACTGGTACACGGGAGTGAGGGGAAAAGCTCATTTCGTACTAACGTTGATGAAACGAAACTGCAGCAAACAGACGTGATAACTTTAAACAGCAGCCATCAGATCGTTGAACAAAATCACCAGCATGTCAGAATTTAAGATGAATCTAAACTGTTTAATTTGAAGAGTGAGAATTATGTTTCCTGTCTTATTTGGCGGCTCTGGTGATCGGCATCTCCTGTGAACCCCACGCACGGCCGTAGTGCGCCAGTTCGTACCGAGAATGGCTCTCAGGTGGCCCTCGAGCGTCTGCAGGACCGTGTTCTTGACATCGTTGACCGACTTGCTGATGAACTGTTCGAACGCCTGTTTGAGCAGGTCCTCCTGTTTGATGAACTTGCACTGGGCCACGCCGGTGACGGTGAGCGGCACGCCCTGCGAGGTCTCCACCCGCTCGCACACCGGGTTCAGCGTCATCACCTGGCGGGCAGGACGACCGGCGGTCAGCAGCCAGCGTGGAGGGGACGTGCTATCGGCGAGTGTGGAAACGTGAGGTGACCACTTTTTTGTCGTCAAATTAAAACAGCGTCCCGCTGCACTAGTTTGACTTCAGCCAGCTTCAGCTGCTCTCACTAACCCAAACTATTCCAGTCAGGAAACTCATACATCGTCACCAGAACTGAGACACTACTACCAGCAGAAATAGGACACTACCAGCAGAAATTAGACACTACCAGCTGGGCTCTAATCATTTCATGTAGTACTAGGATTGTTTGGACTAGATAAGGGAAGCTTTTAGCAAGCATTGATGCCCACTGCTTACCTCAAGGGATAGTTTCTTCACATCTGTCACACACCACCAGGCCCAGGCCCAGCCTCCAATGATTGTCTTCCTTGCAGTGGGACTGAGACAGCCACCTGCAGGTCAATGAAACACACAGAGGATTATTGATGGATGTAGATAAGACAGAATATTGATGGAAGAGGGAGGAGGACCTACAGCAGACCCCTTGGAGATCCCTGAGTGGTGTTCAAGAGCAGAAGAAGAAGAGGGAGAGAGGGCAGGATGGAGGGGAGAGAAAGAGAGTCTGGGTAATCCAAATAGCCAGTACACACAGCACTGTCACTTTCACACAGGTTTTTCATTTATCTCTGACAATGAGCATTAAACTAACATCCACATCTGCCATATTCTGATGAGGTTACATTTTAATTTGTTGATAAAATACAATGTTATGAGAAATACATGATTTACAGTTAGAAACTATATAAATGTAAGGACAAACTATTTATATGTTAAAAGACACTAGCCATCTGAACTAAACTTACCTGACACCACCATAGCCTCATTGGGTCCAACAGTGTGAATATTTCCCATCTTGCTATTTTATCCTTCTGGATCTAAGCTGAAATGAAGTTTGAAGAAAGGTAAGGTAAGGTTGAACAGGTGAGTTTAAGAGGTGAGTTGAAGAAACATGTGTTTGAAGGAAAATTCCAAAGTTCAAATTCAAATTATCAGTGCTAATTACAATTGATTTAGACATCAAAGCTTCATTTTTTTTCTTTTATAAATTTAGTCCGAACCTTTTGATAGGAAGGATTCACAAGGACAGAGCCACCGCTAAGTGAAGCTTGTTGATGTGACCCTGCCCCCTACCCTCCGATCGCGCAATTCCAGTTCTATGGCAGAATTTAGAGTCCAAAGTTTAACGTGGGCACATAGCCGTGCACGGCCGCATGGAGCAGACTGTTCAAGTGTCAGGAGAGACAAACTGTGGCTGAATTGACGTTGAAACAGTGATTTGTTGTCCATGAACTCAGGAGGAAAATCATGATCATAGGCCTCTTGCACCAAACTACCTAGCTAGGTAAAATCGAAAAACCGGTTTCAGAATAAGCTAATCTAACGGCGGTAAATTTGTTTGCAACAGCCCAATACATAGTCCTACATGTGCTTGCTAAATTTTGCACACAAATTGTTACATTTGAAACTTGAACTAGGTATACGATGCAAAATAATCCAAGCATTGGCACAAGAGGATTTTGGTGCAAGAGGCCTCATGTTAGACTGTGGCACATGTTGCTCTGTGCTGCATGTGCCACAATTACATCAAGGGACTAATGATTCTTTTTTAACAAAACATAATCAAATTTGCCCTACGTCCTAACCAGACAAAAAATAGCCTAGCCTGAACCATCATATACGGCCTTGCATCATATCACCTGCTTAGCACATAATACCCATAATACCTCTGGCACAAACCAAGAAGTACCCAGCTTAGTCAGAATTGCAGAGAACATCATCAGTCTCCTTATGTTAACATCCCATTGGCTGAACAGGGTCAATACCTAATATTTTTGCACGTTTTTGATTAACCATTACCTTAATTTTGTCTGGATAATAGCAGGTTGCTAATTCCAATCACGTGAAGGACAATTACAATGGAAAACCATGGAAAACAAGCTATGGAGGGAGGGCGAGGTGGGTTGAGGGCGCCAGGAAAGAATCGGATGCGCAGTTTATGCAAATATGACATGCCTACGCATCTTACGTAATTGGGGGTTCCCTTAGCATCAATCATTTCTACCGTCTACAAATTAATTTGAATTGATTCAGCACTGCACTTCATATTTCAAGGAAACTAAAAATAAAATGTATTTACACTGGAAACTAATCTTACGAAATCAGAGACACTCCACTCGTCCTCGAAAGGTAATGTCTTGGGCAAAGTCACAGGTTTTTCATGACGTCAGTTTTAAAGGTTTTGTTAGTGAAGAAGATCTAACACTTATGACCGATCCTTGAATTCCTTACTTCGCAAGAACATGGCGGGGAGATACGGAAATGATTTCGGGTAACATTATCATTGTTATTACACTCTTTCTAGTAATCAGCTTTCGCCGAGTTTTACATGGTCCTCGTAGCTTATGATTTCATTCATTCTCTGTCGGATTTGCCAGTCAGATGTGTAGGAATGTGGTGTTTTTTGTGCGCCACTTTTGCCTAACCTCGTGAAGCTTCAGCTGGGGACGCGGCGTGGTTGTTAAATTGCAGGGTATATTGAGTGAAATTGTATTAAATTAATTTGTATTAGTGGTTAAATTGTATGATATGACTGACAGCTTTGCAATGAGACTGTCATTTACCTATGTATGCTTATGCTGAGTACATTTTAATGCGCTGTACACACACATTATAATGTGCCACAGTCGATCCTACTTCTCATGTTGCGTATGCGACTAACCACTGGCATTGGTGGATCCGAGGAAAGTGGTTTGAAATACTGCAAGGGTGTACTCCCAAAAGAGCTCATCCAATTTTAAATAGTATATTAGATTTTGTGGTAAATGTCAAGATTAAGTCCTAAGCAGATTTCATTGATTTTTTTTCTTCATATTTTTACATTATTTGACATCCTGAATTCAAAAATGATGCTCATATGTCTTGCAAATAAAAGAAAAAACAATCAAACCTGACCTAACCTTACCTACTTACCTATAACCTACCAACCTACAACCTATAAACCTACAAGCTAACAACCTAAAACCTACAAACCTACCTACCTACAACCTTAAACCTACAAACCTACAACCTAACCTAACTTAACCTAAAACCTAAAATTTTTGCTGTTACATATTTGTATCAACAGCGTCACAATTGTCGTTAGGACCTAAACTTGACATATACTGATTTTGCTTTGCTTATACCTTGCTGTTCAGTGTCAAAGAGTAAAAAAAAGTTGTATTTTGTTTCGTGATCATTAGATTACATAATTTTGTCATTTTGGGGCAATCTGAGACAGGTAGATACTAGATAGGTAACCCACAGACTGACATATGGAATTGTCACTGACCCAATGGACTTATCTAGATATGTAGTTGCCCTTAATCTCTCAATCAAGACCTTAAGCATGTGTCACTTATAATCAAATAGGAAGCTGTCTAGCTCCAGGTGTCATCTTCCAGTAAGGCATCCTACATGCCTTTCTAGGTGATGAGTGTTAAGCAGAATGCAGGTTAGGTACCTAGGCATTAGGCATTCATTTAAGGTGCTTGGTCTTACCCTAATTCTTCCAAACATGTGGCTTCAGAATTCTTGCTATTTCTGGCTGGGACAAGGTATAGTACAAGCTAATTTGTGCTCTGAATATTGGTGAAGTTCAGAGCGTTCAGTGCAGTTCATTCGTTTTAGCAGGTGCTCAGCTATTTTAAATGTTATGTTTTTGTTCTAGGCATTATGCATAATGGACAATATTTATTATGCCAAGGATGGCTTGTAGTGAGCTGCCACCAAATACCAGACAGTCAGTGCATACCACCCCACACCAGTCGCCCTGTGTAGACCGGACGCCTCCACTGACGAGTGACGACCGTGTGTTGGCCGCAGGGGCGGGTACGGAGGCGGTGGCGGCGGCGGCGGCGGGTATGGCGGCGGCGGCGGCGGCTACGGCGGCTTCCGCGGCGGCCGCGCGCAGAAGCCGCTGCCCACAGAGCCCCCCTACAAGGCCTACGTCGGAAACCTGCCCGACTTTGTCGTCCAGGGCGATGTAGAGAAGAAAATCTTCGCCGGCATACCAGTACGTGCTGTGGAGATCGCCTGGCCTCCTGTAGAACTTGTGTGGAATATTTGTAGTGCATAGTCTGTAGTCTTGTGTCCGCTGCATTTAATTTGTGTCTCTCCCTAAACTCAATTATATCGTGAAGGCTAAACTCGCTTCCTCACGCCGGCAGATCAAAAACATCCACATGGTGCGGGACCGCGAGACGGACGCCTTCAAGGGCTTCTGCTACGTGGAGTTTGAGTCGGTACAGGACCTGGAGCGCGCGCTGATGGCCAACGGCGCCGACGTGGAGGGCCGCGAGCTGCGCGTGGACGTGGCTGAGGACCGCCGCGGACCCGGCGGCCGCGGCCGCGGAGGGCCCAGAGGTACGGGTGCTCAGCTGATATTGACGGGAAGGCAGAGGACGGCAGGCAGTCGATTGTTGCGGGCGACAGTAGGGAGGCACCGCCGTGATTTACTTGTGTTTCGCAATCGGCAGGCTGTCTCAGATATGCTGTGCTCAATTTTGAATGCGGTGTACTCTTTCGAGAATGCATAACCCTGCCAAAGCCGGCCGCCCGTCGGTGTCTCGCCTAACCTCCGTATAACCACCGTTCAGGCGGCCCTGGCGGCTTCCCGCGCGGCGGCGGAGGAGGCTTCGACGACCGACGCGGAGGAGGCTTTGACGACCGGCGCGGCGGTGGATTCGACGACCGGCGTGGAGGCGGCTTTGGTGGCCGGGACGACGGTAAGTCGCCGGGGCCAGCACATGGAAGTTCTCTATCAGTGTGTGATGGATTGGATGCATTGCTTTATTTTCACCCGAGGTCTGATGTTCCTAAACCAGCAGCTGTTTTGGTGCGAATAATTATGGGGACGTTCCAGTGTGCACAGACGCTGCTTTTGTGTGAATATGGTTTAGGTATTTGTGTTCTCAGCTTTTGCCAATCGGAGAATGGGCGGCAGGTACCCACTCTGTTGTGCCCTCGACACCAGGTGATCGTTGTGTTGTTTCCATGTCATGTTGCCATTGTCATCCTTCACCATTCGTGGCCAAGCCACCGTAAACTACATCCATTATCTTACCACGTTATCCCCGCAGTGTCTGACATGTCCCACGTCTCAGTGTCCCTCTCAGTTGACCCGTCCCCTCGACAGGGTTCCGCGGCGGCGGCGGACACCGTGGCGACTTTGACGACCGCGGCCGGGACGGCCCCTGGGACGGAGGCCGCGGCGGCGGTGCCGGTGCCGGTGGCGGTGGCGGACCGCCTCACATGGAGTTCAGGGAGCCAGACCCCAGTGAGTGAGCTGGTCCGTCCGGCGACATATATTAGACGCACCATTGCATATGTAGGCCAGCAAAACATAGAATAAGAGATGTCATCAGGGGACATGGAAAGGAAAATATCACCTGCAGATGTTTGTGTCGCTCTATTCTAGTATTATTTGGGTGAAATATGTTCGAAATTATTCTTCATTAGAATTTAGACTTATTGCAAAACCATTGTTCAGTCAAAACTCTTCGTCCTTACTAAAGTTAATGTCTCATGCTTCATGTTTATATCGTGCCTGATTCATAAAGTTGACCGCGTTCAATCACTCCATCTGATCAGTAAAACGTCCGTGCTCGCCGATTGTCTTATCAGCTGATGCTGATTAGACTCGACTTCGATCCCCACGGTGGCAACTCTCCGCATTGCGTCATCATGCATGGCGCGCTGTAAGACTCGCCAGCTATTCGATTTGCGATATGACTACCCGATATACTCAACTTGACGCATTTCGTTAGCAGTCGTCTCACTGGGAAATTGGAATAATACGCTTCCCCCTGAGCACGTTGCGTGCGAACTGTCAGTCTGACGGGCCGCCGCCGACCCTGTCTGCCCTCGACCTGCCTGCGGCCCGATGTAACATGACCCCCCTGTGCCCGCTCAGGTGACGCGGCGCGGAGGCCGAGGCTGAACCTGAAGCCGCGCACAGTGGGCGCGCCCACCAACTCGGTGGCCAACACCTCCCAGACGAGCAGCATATTCGGCGGGGCCAAGCCGCGAGAAGAGAACCTCAAGAGCAAGGGCGCGCCGTCTGGCCAATAGTCGGCCGGTAAGTTGAGAGGGAAGCTGCACGGGGAGGGACGGTCGCCTGAGTCAGCAGGTCGACTGCTGGCTCTTGGGGCGTGGAAATTCCTTTGTTTGGAATGAAACTTACCGCTATTATGGGCCTGCTCCAGTCGCACTTCCTAACACCTCTAAACTCCTCCAAGATAGCTCTCCTGTTCCAGTGGCAGCTCTAGCCCCTACAAAGCCAAGGAGGGCCCTGCTCCGGCCTCCTCTATCTTGCTATTGGAGGAGTTTAGACTTAGAGGTGTTAGAAAGTGCGACTGGAACAGATCCTATGTGGAAGGTAGCATTTGTTTTCCGTCACTCATCGGAGGAGATTTTCACGCGATAACATTTGATTTTATGTCATGTTTTCTTAAGATTCTAAAAAGATAGTAGTATTGCCATGTGCCAGACCTGAGACCTGACTATATGAATGATGCAGCTGAACTGAAGTTGATCGTGACGATGAAAGTATGCAACCGAAATTATTAACGCATTCGTAAGAACACTGAAGGAAAATCGGAAGTGTAGGAAGTTCATTTGAAAAGAACGGATTGGTCGCTTCACCACGTTTCAGTGGTTCGCATCAATATCTTTTTGTTCACGGACTGTCCAGTGTTCGGGTGCGGCTCGTTCCCCGCTGGTCTGGCGGCTGGATGTAGTCACTGACCGGCCGTGTGTCCGCCAGGGCTGGGGCGCGGATCTCGTCGGCGGGCTCGGGCCGCTGATCGTGATGGTCTGCTGTGAACTGCCGCCGGAGCACTCCGCCATCTGGTGGCGGCGCCGGGGACCGACTCTGCGCGACGCCGCCGCGCGCGGCGCCCACGTCTCGTTTGTGTACAAACGAACCTGTCGCCGCCGCCGAGCGGGGACCGGGCAAATTGGTGCGCCTCGCCGCGGGCCGGGCGGCGAGGCCCGTGTGTGTGTGTTTCTGATTCGGCCGCCGGCGCGCGCGCTCGGCCGGTGAAGGAGGCGTGTGGTGGCGTGCGGTAACTCGGTTTTATATTGGGTTGCCGGCCGTGTGACGTCATTGTATGCCTTCGGGAGGGCGGCAACCGGCGGCCGGCCGCTGCCTTTATGTTACTTCCTGACTTTTGTGGTCGGCTCGTCTGCTGGTAACTGTGCCCGAGCGTGGTTTGTCCGACAGCGTCCGTAGCTTTCGGTAGGTGAGTGGCTCGAGAAAATCCTTAACGCGTTGATTTTGGTTGTATTTGTGTACGGAATCCTAGGCGTATGGCCCGAGTGCAGAGGGCGGGCTGGATGTCAGGTCCGGTATCTAATAAATCTTCACCGATTACCAGACTGATTGCGTCTTATTTGGATTCTGACGTACCCCGGAGCGAGATTGTCTCTTTCAATCCGTCGTCAGCGCGCGCCGTGGGGTGGCCTGAACTCTGATGGACGCTTCTGGACACGGGGATTTGGAGGAAAACGCGACATTTTGGCTCCGCATTGGGCCTCGTAAACGTAGGTATTTGCAAACGACGTTCACAAGGCTGACTTACACATTGCTTGCATTGGTCATCCTCCGGACTCGGCCTAAAAAGTTTTATTTCCTACCGGGTCAGGCCACCAGGTTATGACGTCAATTGTCAGGTAATGTCCAGGTGAATTCTGCGTATTGCAGAATTTTCGTTTCTACGATCTGGGTGCGTTGTCGACATGCCCTCTACTTTATACTGACGCATTGAAGGCGAGATCGTTAGTGATAATCTGTACCCCAAGGGCAATGTAAGGTTTCCGGAGGTGAAAGTAACGCAAAAAGTCCGATATAGTGACTCAAGTTTATAGGGGAACGTGCTTAAAATCTTAAAGCGTTGGCTCAAAGCATCTTCACGGTGTTCAAAAAGGACAGATCATAGACCACCAATCACCATATAACTAGATTTAACCCTCGCCGGACCTATTGGTTTTCTACATACGCGCCGGCCGAGGGGGGGGGGGGCGGGTACGACCCCCCCTCGCCGTTTCGCCCCTGGTGGAGCTAGCGCGTCGCGGAAAAAACGAGCGTGTGCGCCGTTACAAGACGCAGAGATTGGTACCCGATTTTAACCCGCGACCGCCTGGGGGGGGGGGGTCGGATCCGACCCCCCCCCCCTCCGTTTTTCTTGAATAACTCATGAACCGCTTGAGCTATCAACTTGAAACTTCGCATACCTTCTCCCCCATCAATTTGACGTCTCCTGTGCAATTTTTAAGAAAAAAATTTCAAAAATTTTTGAGATATATCGATTTTAGTGATGTAACTACATGGCGTTTTCAGTCAAAAAATGGTAAATGTTTAAAAAATCGCCAAAAATCGAGGTTTTAAGCAAATTGCAAATTAAGGACATGAAAAGACGCAGCTCAACGAGTTCTTTAAAATGGCTATCTCGGATTTTCCATAAAATGCGTTTTTCACCCCTAAAAATTCAAAAAACTATATTTTTTGGAAAACAGCTAATAAAATCCAAAATTTTGAGAATTTCCAAAAAACCGGAATATATGTTATAGAGCTCTATTAGAACATTAGATGTCCCAAATTTCAACTTTCTATCTTGATTTTTGACCCCCAAATTGTAAAAAATAGCTCCAACATGCATAGGGCATGGTGACGTCATAAGCATTTTCGCGAATTAGAGGCACTTCTGAACATCGCATGTGAAAACAAATGGCACCACTAGATTTCTGGGACAAAGCTCGTCTAGAAAAGTGCATTTTTATGTCAAAAATAAAAAGTTGAAAAATTGACTTTTTTTCTTAGCCCTCGTTTAGTTATGTATGGTATAAACGATTTTTTATGCTTTCAATGCACACTTATCACCAGCACAGTGACTTGGGGTCACATATAACCATTACCATCGGATTTGGCGTGAAAAATAAGCCATAAAACATGTGTCGCACGCCCATGTAGCAGAAAGTGAAAACCGTGACCTTTCGTGACCTGACCTGACCTTGACCCGTACTTAGTATGACCCCTATACGCACATGGTACCTTCACTAGGTCTTTGAGGTCATTTGTGGTGAGTTTCGAGCAGCAGCTATCGATTCCGCTGTCCGTAAGCCTAATCATGCAAACCCCTGAATTTGACCTTTGACCTGACCTTGACCCGAAAGTTGACCTCAATCTTAAAATCTTAAGAGTGCTTTGGGAAGGTCTCGTAGAGACCTTTCGAACGCCGCCTCGCGGGGCTCGATACGACCATTGGTTCTCGAGATAACAGGGGGGGGGGGGGGGTCGGATCCGACCCCCCCCCCAGGCTGATGTGGGTACGGAAATAGCCCAGGCGGTGCCGGGTTAAGGTCCTAGGTCAACCGGTGACCTCTGAGGTCAGGTCAAGTGCCCCAGGGTACGGTTCAGTTTTTGGTGAATAACTTCGCAAAAAACGGCTGCAGAGCCGCGATTTTGGCAGCATCGTGTTCGCCTCGCTCAGGCGCGTCGAATGATATACTTTTTGTTCGGGTCAGGTCAACTTGGGGTGTTGACCTCAGGTCAAGGTCAGGTCAGCACCCCCAGGTCACGAAGCTGGTCGGAAGAGGTCCTGTCGCATATCATTCGATTCGGCAGGTCTTCCTGAGTCCATTGGTGGCTTTCTCGACTCGCTAGCTCAATTTGATCGGGAGTTATTGACGAAAAACTAATATGACCTTGATGACGTCATAAATGACGTCACGGAAGGTCAACATTGCAAAAGTGACGCATCTAACCTTGCAAGGAGTGCATCAAATCACGATTCTGTGTGCTTGAGATAGTTGGAGATCGTTCCCGGCGCCAGAATAGCAGTTTGAATTTTTCCCAATTGACTTATAATGGTGAGGTCACGAAAATGACCTGACCTCATATGACCTTTAGGAAAAATCCGAGATGTACAAGTTGTGAGACTCATAATGGATACTAGATCCTGCAAGTTTCATTTCCCTGTGACATCTCCTCTGGCAGTGTGGGCGTTGCGAAGTTGCGACATCTGAAGACCGTGCAGAGGTTCACTTATGACGTCATAGGTCAGTGACCTGACCTGACCCAAAAATGCGGTTGGTGTCAAAAGATGCGGCTTGGATCAAAGGTCAGGTATGCCAAGTTTCAGCTCTCTATCGCCAGCGTGTTCGGAGCTATCGCGAAAAAAACCCTATGGGGTGGGCGGCACCCGCCCCCCCCCCCCCTCGGCCGGCGAGGGATAACACATATAGTGGTCTAAGGACAAAGTTGCTCCGATTGCATTTCATAACCGTGACAAGGTAAAAGACACCGTCTGCCAAAGAAGCCGATGGCAACACTGACCACATCGTGTCGCTGGCGTAACCTTTACATCACAATCGTTACACGGTGAATGACAGTGGCGATTACCCCGATGCCTGGGTCTGGGTGGCATTCTGATCGCCGACTGTGCCGTGAGTGACGCCGGAGACCCACACCCACGAGCCGCCCCCGTCCCCGCCGCCGGGCGAGCTCTTCCTGTCGGCTCCCGCGTCCCGCCGCTGACGGCGGCGCCAACAGCGGCGCACGCAGCTCTCGACGAACTCGTACAGCGTGAACGCCGAGACGCCCAGCAGCAGGCCCAGATTACCGCCGATGTCCGAGACCATCTGCAACACGACACGCCCGGTGGCTCAGCCAGCGGCGCGCTCTCTCTGGGTCGGGTCGGAGTGGCGCGTATCTAACATGAGGATATCGATGTCGGGATGATTTTCAACGATGACAGCTTTGAAGCATATGACCTAGGATTTCATACGCATGAACGTGCTTGACGAGATTGTTTAATTATCTGTTTGCAGTGGTTTCCGCATGCGATAGGATGAGCGATAAACGATAAACGATAATTATCGCTGTTAAGTAAATCGGTTATCGTTATCGTTTATCGCTAAATTTTCAAAATTATCGCTCATCCACTTATCGCAAGTTACAAAAATTATGAACGATAAACGATAAAATGTAAAACAGGATGATGGAAAAATGGAAGACGATCGACAGTGTATGCCGCGCGACAGTATGTGTGCGCAACCTGTTGCCATCTGCTAAGTGTATAGATCTGCAAATAAACATAAAGTACACTTATTTAAGCTGCATTTCTTATCACTTTTCAGGGACGGTCCTCCCATATAGGCAAGGTAGGCAGTGCCTACGTCATTTGTCGTCTCCCCTGCGTCTACACCCTCACTAGCCTGTGGCTTTTGATTGTTTGATTGCTTTTGTTTTTTCGTTTTTCAAAATGGGTTGAAACGAAAGAGAATTGCCTAAATTTTTCAAAAAACGTCAAACAAAGATCGTATTATAACAACAACTTGACAAAACCTTAAAACCTTTGCCTAATTGTGCCTACCTCGTCCTACTAGATTATCGACTATTGCCATGTTGACTGTTGAGGCTATTGAGCTTTTTGTTGGCTTTTTGGCAGAAAAAGTTTAGATGGTCGGCACATCGACTAGGTGCTACCTTCTAACTTTCAAACTTGACTTTTTATTAAGTCCATTTATCATAAAATAAAACACATTTTACGTTGTTATTAATTTTTATCATTAGTTTAGGGTACCTTGTGTTGTTATGCCTGTTGTGTTATTCTATTGTTCCTTAACCCTATTAGTGGCAGGCTCCTGGCTACCCCATATTAGTGGCAGGGGGGGCTGTTTACGACCCCCCCTTGATATCTCGAGATCTAACGGGCCGATTTTCAAAATTCAAACGGCATTCGATGTGGCTCAACGAGATCTACATTTCTAAAAAAAATAAAATTAAAAAATGTCAATAGGGGGGTAGAGGGGGGTAAAAACGGGCAAATTGCAGATACATTTTAGACTGTTTATCACGGCCAGGTTTCTGAACCAATCTTAACGCAAGTTTTGCCGATCGATAGAGAATGAACCAGGAATTCACATGGATCCTAAAAATATGAATTTTCAAAAATCATAGGCGGATACAGATCATTGAGATTGGGGGTACACAAAAAGTATAGTAAATAAGGTTTTTGTTGGTACTGTTTCTAAAAAGGGTGGCAATGGTCTTGTTATGTTACAATTTTCTTATGAGAGAACGACTAAAATTGTATTGGTCATGCATAGGCGGTGTCAGGGCACCTATGTTGGGAGGTAAAAAATAACCCCCCTTTTTGGACGCCTGGATCCGCCTATTATAGCAAAAACGTGTCAAAAGAGGATGCACAATAACTTTGTATGTGTTATCACATGATACCTTTCATTCACTGTTCGTAAAACTGGTGCAGCATCGTGATCTTCGCCCAAATGACTCGCTTCACGAATAGGACCCCCCAATTCCCAGTGCTCTGGAGCCGCCCCTGGTAAAGTTATGAACTTGAAATTTTCAGGGAATGTGCCCAATTTAGTTTTAGGAAAAGTCAAAAAATTTCAGCATCGTAGCTTCAGCGGTTTCGGAGATATTCCCGAAAAACCTGAGGGGTGGATAAAAACAACCCCCCCCCCTGCCACTAATAGGGTTAAAAATTATATTGGACAAACTAGACTCCTACTGGGAGACTAGCTTGTCTCTGGCGGCAGACGTGTAAGTGGCGGCTCTAGTGAAGTTAATGGTTTTTGTGTGTTATCCATGACAGATATATATAAAAAACGACAATGTATTCAAATACACAATTAAAAAACAGAGCTTTCGGTAACAAATACCTTGATCACTGTGTGTCTGCTGCAAATCAAGGTATTTGTTACCGAAAGCTCTGTTTTTTAATTGTGTATTTGAATACATTGTCGTTTTTTATATTAATGGTTTTTGTAGATGACGCTGCTGTCGCTGCTTGACGCATCCTGATTCCCGACTGAGCAATAAGGCTGTCTCCCCCCCCCCCTTTTTACCTATTCCCGATTCCGTATTCAGCTTTTCTGCCTTACCTACCAAGTGCCTACCTACTTTCAATAGGTCAGCGCCGCCCCTGTCACTTTTGTTATCGCTGTTAAAAAAAAAAACAATTATCGTTATCGTTGTATCGTTTATCGTGTCGTTATGGCTGTTAGAACATTTGTCGTTATCATTTTATCGTTTATCGTTTTTTATCGCTGTTAAAAGAACAATTATCGTTATCGTTTTATCGTTTTATCGCTATCGCTGTTAATTTTTTGAAAATGTTTATCGTTTATCGTTTATCGTTATCGCAAGCCTTTCTTATCGTTTTATCGTTATCGCAGGTCCGAAAATTAGTTATCGCGGAAAGCACTGTCTGTTTGCAGAATTTGTAGATGCTTGCATAATGCATATTCATATGCACCATGATATTTCCCTGATTCCAAGACTGTCCGAATCGCCAAACGCAAACCGTCCAGCCGGCCTGACCTGTTGCATGTCATAGGCGAGCGTCTGTCGCGAGACGTAGAGCCTCTGGACGACGCTCAGCGCCATCCACGGGTGGTTTCTCTTGTGGTTGAGTCGGTCGGACAGCGTCAGGGTGATAGTCTCCTGATAGCACTGCGGTCGGCAGCGCGCCTTGCACCCGTCGGCGATCCTGGCGGCGCGGCGGCGCATCGTCACTGCACGGTATAGGTGCCGGGTGCTGGACAGTGCACGGCCTATAGACAACAATACGGTCAACGGTGCATGATGCAAAATGTCTGGTCATTAGAGCCGGCACACTCGAGTCTCGATAAAGAAACAACCCGCACCCGGTGGTAACATATGCCCCCCCCCCCCCCACTGGGGCGAAGGTTAATTAATTAATGCAAAAATATCAACTTTGAAATTTGACCTAATTTGACCTGACTTTGACCTGACCTTGACCTGACCTTCACCGGAACATAATCTAAACTGACCCCAAAGACTGCCTGACCCACATAATAGCATTTGTCATGTAAAATGGATCATAAAACATGTATCACACGACACTTTCATATTGTGGCCCCCAGTGACCTGACCTCTGTGACCTGACCTGGTATCAGTGACCTCAGATAGCGAAGTATGTGTTTGACGAACAATGTACCATCGATGGTTTTCAATAACTTACCAATTTACTCGATTTCACAACACATTGCTTGAAATGCCTGTGAACGGTGAAAATCTGACCTTTGACCTGACCTGTGACGTCATCGGTTTGACCTAGGTCAATGAAATTTGGTCACAAGGTAGTTCCCCGGTGGGGCTATCAAACGCCGTTTGAATTTTGAAAATCGGCCGGTAAATTTCCGAGATCTTAGGAGGGACCGAAACGCCCCCCCCCCCCTACGCGCGGTGGTAGGGTCCATCGGTAGCCCTACGGGGCGCGGGTTAACCCGCGCCCCACTATTCATATTCATAGCCCCTCTCTCGTTTTTCTGCAATAACTTCTAAACCGCTTGACGTATCGCCGCCAAACTTTCAGTACCTTCGGCTGCATTAATTTGACACCTTGTGTCAAAGTTTGAACTTCGTATCTGTCATAGGTCGGCCGGAAATGACGTCAGAGTGACGTCATGTTCGGCCGATTTCGACGCAAAACATTGAACCACGGCAATCGCTCCCAAGAGCTCAGTTTTTAAGCTAGATCCAATTTCTTTGCATGAGAGGACTTAGAATTGAATGCGCTATCAAACTGCTATTCCAATTCCAATTCCAAAGCTATTCCAAAGTTGTATTTTTATCTTTGTCAAAAAGTTTTTGACTTTTCAAAAAAAAATCGAATACACATGATAGCACACATGCTTACTGTAGCAAGCTTTAGCCAGATATCTTCAAAAAATGGCCAAGATGCATTATAGCAAAAGTTTCACAATTTTAAATTTTTCAAATCAGTTTTTCAGTACGAATTTGACATCGTACACCAATATAAATAGCACCATCGTGTTCCGGAGCTCAAACTGCATCCGAAAGACATTTTTTTTTTGCTGAAAAAATAAACTTTAAAATTTGACCTTTTTTGACCTGGAAGTAGCCTGACCTAAGCTAAATTCAACAAAATGACCTTGAATGACATAAACTTTATCAAATTCGCAATCTATGGGCTAAATGGACCATAAAACATGTGTCACGTGACCAACTTATGATATAAGATTTCTGTGACTTGTGATGACCTGACCCTGACCTGAAAATTAAAGTAGCTACAAGTTTGATACCCTCAGGAGTCAGGGTATCAAAAGCATCTGTTAACGAGGTGTAAATCATAAATCAGCCTGATCCGACTTGTAAGACGGCGAGCCCAAAATGTGAACAAGCCAAACATTGATAATTTTTACTTTGACCTGACCTATGACGTCATCATCGGTGACCTCGAGGTCAATAAAGTTAGGTTTCGCTCGACAGTTTTTTTTCCGGGGCTATCAGATGCCGTGGGAATTTTGACGATCCGCCCAGTAGTTGCTGAGTTAGGAGGCCCCCCCCCCCCCCCAGTAGGGCGCGTTATGCACAGACCCTGCAGTGGGGCTCGGGTTAAGGGCTAAGACGATTATTGCCAATATCCAGTACCTGCGCACATTTGTATACTGCATGCGATGACGAAAAGTCGGTCGTTTTTATTTTGGGACATGTAGGGGAAGGTGGGGTAGGACCAGGGTTGTATACGACTCAATCAATAGCAATCAATTCAATCACGACAAATTTGGGAAACCAATCAAATCAATCAAGTCAGAGCAGTTTTCGGGAATTGATTCAATCGACTCAAACGCGACAATGAAAGGAATCAATCAACTCAATCAAACGACTCAAACCAAGACATACATTAGGTTTTTTGCCCCACCATCTTGCAGGGCATATTTTAACAAATTTTTACTGCGTCCCAAAGTTGAGCAGAGGGCACGTGCTACGACTAAGGGCACAGGGCAAGGAACAGAGTAGGGCACTGAGGAGGGCAGAAAGTAGGGCGCGGCAGGTTGCGGGTCATGGCACAGGACATTTTAGAGGGAAGGCCGGGTACAGGTCAGGGCAGACAGCAGGGCACAGGTCAGGGAACCGGACAGGGCAGGGACGCAGTGGGCCAAATCAGCAGGGGCTACGTCCCAAGGCGAGGGGGCTGCGTCCCAAAATGGGACGCAGTAAGTGCCTTAAAATATGCCCTGCCATCTTAGAAAAGTGTCCATAGCAGTCTGGTGTACCTACCTACCTACCTACAGAAGAAACATAAAAATATTGTCATTTAAAATTATAAATTGCCATGCCATTCAAAGATTCTATGTAATAAGGAAGGATACCTAGTGATGGACAGGTGGATCATGATATTGAGGTCCAATGGGTAGAATTGGAGCAGAAGTTTCATTTAATGGGTGCAAAATAACCCAGTAGTTGACTCGCCCCTTAACCCAAATCACCACCTTTCACCTAAAAGTTGTCAATTTAATTTTGGCCATATTCCAGCTAAGTCATCAGGCCATCTACCCCATGTAAAGCCCCTGTCTGTCTCTTATGTGAGTTATGCGGAGCTCTTCTGAAATGAACCCTAAACATAATGAACCTTGCTAGGTTTCATGCCACACTGACACCATATGAAAGTGTAGAAAATGTGCTACAAATTTGACAACTTCATTAGGTATGCTTTATGAAGACAGCAGGAAAGCAGGTAGGTACCTACTTACCTGCCTAGATGTGTCACTGGCTACCAACAGTACCTACCAACGAAGGTAGATACTTATATGTGAAGAATTCAAAACATTCTATTGCAATACAATTTGAAACTGTTAGGACTGGGGGATAGGGATCAGGATTAAAAATATATTTAAAAGGAAATGGAGAGGACAGGGACTCTGAAACCACAGGATAAGTTAAGGACAAAGGAGGAAAATTAAAACGCGAAAACGGCACGGTGCGACTGCGAAAAAAACAAAGAAAACGTTTTGCCAACAAGTATGCTAAGCTTTTATAAATGCTTATTCTACGTCTTTGATTTTTTGGTAAGATGACGTCATTGATAATCATGTTGTATGGTAGATTATCATAAAATAAATCGGTTGTACAACACCAATTTCGTTTTAATTATTATTTCATTTGAAATAAAACCACTTTATAATATTCGGTAAAATATTTTAGGGAAAATGAAATATATTAAATATGTTATGCTAAGGCTCCATAGATAATCTATGTTAGGCTCTCAGGAGAAAAGGATCAACAAACGTTCTGCTGCAAATTAAACAATGCAGCAAATTTAGCGAGACGAAAACGGCGCTTTTGTTTCAGTTATTTTTGTAGGGGTTTCAGATATTTATAGAGTTCAGTGGGTTGTTTCTGAGGAGATGTGGAGATGAGAATTATTAATTAATCACACTTTATTAGTATATAGGGCCTTGCACTTTATCATCTGGATTAAAAAAAAACGTTTCTTGCTGAGTGCAGAAGGGTAGGTAGGTGCATCGCCAGGTTCTATCACCAGGATTGGAGCAGTTATTGCAGTTGAAAGTCAAAGTTGGCTGTTCATGTTTAGGCCCTGTTCTTTATTTGGCCATCTACCCCATATTACAGTTGTGATGACTAGCAGTTTTCAGTGTAGTTTTGTGATCTATGATGTCATAAATTATTGTCATTATTTTTCGTCAACTAAAACTTATTTGAACTTTCCATTCAATCGACTCAATCATACGAGTCACTCTAATTTTCGGGAATCAAATCAGTCAACCAGTCGCTAAAGTCAAACGAGTCAGTCAACCAGTCATCTCGAAAAGTCAATCGACTCAATCCAATCAACTCAAAATACGCGTTGAATCAAATCAATCAATTCAATCGACTTGATTGGTATACAACCCTGGGTAGGACGGCCCAGCGGGGCAAGATGGACCACCAGCCCTCCCGGCTGAACCGCTGCTGGTATCTACTGCTTTATGCACTCACTATGTTTGTTTTCCTTCGTAACAATGGCCACCTTGAGCTCATGCTGCTAGGATGCATAGCTTTTGAGTCATTGAGAATAATGTTGTTTTTCGTCAAACCGACCTAATATAGAGATCTACGGGTGATTCAATTACGGCGCCTTTCTTGCATGATTAGTTTCTATTTTGCACTTTACTGTGAAGAACAAAGTTATAAACTTAGTTATAGTCACACTTTAGGAAAGGCAAGGTTTTGCAATGTTGGGCTATTTGACATATACGTCATGATAATGAAAGAATTTAGATTTGGGGCAAGACGGACCACTGTGGTCCATCTTACCCTGTGGTGGTCCATTGTACCCTGCATATGGAAAGTTCTTTTCCAAAACATTGACACAAGTTTAAGTAAGCTAATTTTTCGGGAAGGAGTCTTTGTTGCATGTGAGCCATGCATGCAAGTGCTCAGTAAAGTTAGCATGCATTCATGCCAAACGACAATCAACACACATGTCCCCAGCTTTTAGCTGCACTTCCATCACACATGAGTAAAGAATAAAGGCTCATTTTGTTATTTTACCATTCTGGTTACTTTTTCTTACAAGAGTACAGAGCAGAAGTGTAACACACATGAACGGATAGCAGGCACTTCTGGGTGGTCCGTCTTACCCCACGTTTTTTTCTTGTCTGAGTTTTTGACATGTCCCTCTTTAAGAGCATCCACCACCTAGATGTCTTTAACTTGAAATTTAGTCTTTACACATATCAACAGAGGAAGGATTGAGCATTCCGAAGACTATAAATAATATGAATTACGAGAGCAGTGTAGCAAGATATGCGGCCTCAAACCTTAGCTGGTTCGTCTTACCCCACCTTCCCCTACCTAGATGGCAGATGAGTTTGAATTGAAAAGTTATTCGTTGTCATCATTCCTTCAGCCTTCTCTTTATTCACCTTTACCTAGGTACGTACAGCATTTTCCGGTATAGTCACCTTAGTCCTAGCCCTGCATGCATGAACAGTAAACACCACTGTCACTTGCCTCTTCAGCGCGGCATAATATTCGTTGGCCCTTAGCTGCTCGGAATTGTGGTACCAGACCATGTAGGTGCGGGAGAACATGCGGGTATAGTTGAGCAGCCGCTGGTAGTCGCGGGCGGTGTCACAGACGGGCAGCTTCACGGGCATCCAGGGCAGGCGGCAGCCGGGCCCGAGCTCCGCCAGCGTCGAGAACAGACACTGGCGGATACACTGCCGGGGGGGGGGGGGGGCGTCAGAGGGCGGGCGGGGGGGCGTCAGAGGGCGGGCAGACCGTGCCGAGAATACGGACCCACGCGTATTGTGGCGGGCCTCATGAACTGCGGTGATCCTATTATGTGTTACGGTAGCCGATAGACGGTTGCAAGTTGCTAATTCAGTGCGTGTAAAAAGTGAATGGCATGAATGACGCAGAGGGAAATTAAAATGTGTTTTAAATGTTTGGGTTTTTTGCACCCTAAATATCTTCTTGATCCTATCTAAGATAAATACATATACCTAAATACAATGCTTCCGTTTCTAGTGATCACACAAGTGACTTGGAACCAGTAAAATGACGGTGCGGTGTTAAACTAGCGGACAGCTAATCTACCGGATTTATAAAGCCATGCCTCTGTGTGGATCCAAATCAAGTTATTTGTATACCGACGTCCATGAAACGGACGCTGACTGGGGGCTCGGTTGCCGGCTGGAGGTTCGGTCGCCAACTGTCCGTCCCACTTCCCACTTTACGTTTGGCTGCGAGTAGGTCGGGTCCGTGTTGCACGGGTGAGTGTCGCTCGGCAGCCTGATGTCGAGGATCCTCGTCACTATGAAGTTCTGCTCCTTCCCGCTCTCCATCTGAGCGCGAGGCGGCGCCCACACGTGCTCCCAATCTGCAGACCAACATGCATACAGGCAGGGGGATCAACGCAGACTGGACGACTGACAATTTAAATAGGATATTTTATCGATGAGCAGAATCGTAAAGCGGAGCTTGTCATGTAGATTCTGGACACTGCTACCTAACAGACGACTAGAAAACTAAGGTCATAAGGCCGATGTTGAAGTCGAACGTTTATCGTTTTCAGGTCATTATCACTTTTGCACTGGCGAACATCATGAAAGACGCCCACAGATAAATAAAAAGCAGCCTATACATCATTCCGTTTAATGACGTCCCTTTTCCCCTTTCAAAAGTCATTACCATGAAATAGAGGCGCAGACAACCGTCTATTGACACCAGCGCATTTCGCGTCCTACTCTTTCTCATTAATCACCCGACAAAGACTATAGCCTTCCACTATCATTAACTTCCTCCTATGGTGGCAGCGACTGTTTACTCTCCCTGCAGCTGCACCAAACACGTACCCATGTAGTGGTCTTTGACGGAGTGCACATAGACGTTCCAGTGGTGCCGGCCGCAGCTGGTGCAGTTGGGGTTGTGCAGCCCCAGCCAGATGCCGCGCTGAACACCCTCGGCCAGCGCGTCGCTGTAGCGAACGGTGTGACATTGGCCGCCGTACTGGTACAGGTCACTCGTCACCGCCGAATGGTCTGGGGGCGCGCGGGGAGAGCACTTGTACATAACTGTACCTGTACATACCTGTACCGTCGTACTGGTACAGCTCACTGGTCACCGCCGACCTGTCTGCAGGAAGCGGGTATGTGGGGACGTGATACCGGGAGCGGCGACATTTAGAGCGCAAAGAAGAATAGATAGCACCGGAGGAGGAAAACGCAGCACGGAGCGATCATGAGCTATCAGCTCGGCAATGAACAGGGCAGGGTGAAAATAAAGGGGCGGATTGCGGATCAACACTGATGAAAATGAAGAAAAGGTTTTATTTTTACAAAGAAGGCATTCAAAATGAGAGCGGTATGGAACACCTCCAGTAGAAGCATTTTATTCGCTGTGGCCAAGGCCCTAAGGGCAGGCCTAAAACTGCGCCTGTGTCCGCAGCTCGCGCCCGCAGTCGCGCGGACTCACTGCAGCCGTTATTGTAGAAGTCGGCACAGTTGTGCACGATGTCGCCCCAGCTGTGGGTCATGTTCCACACGGCCTCCTCCAGGTCCGCCGAGCCCCAAGGAAAGTCGGCCGTCAGCGCCTCGGTCGGGTTCTCCAGTCCGCTCCGCAGAGGTCTGTCAGGGATGGTACAGGTGGGGCAGCAGGCGACGCGTCAGACCACGAGTCGCACGGACAGTGGGACACCCGCCGCCCACAACCACTTCACGCAATGTGAGTCTCATGCTCATGCTCCCAATAATAATAATATCTGAATGCTGGAAGCTGACTTAATCAGTGGCCGCACGCTTAAGCCGTAGGCGCCGTGCGCACCGCGCAGCACGAGCATGATGTGCATGCCTAACGCCTATTGCCTACTGTCCTATGCATCAGGCGAGCGCGGGCGTCTTCTGCCACTGGGTAGGCAGACTGTGCCGCATAACACCAAATACCCTGCCCGAAACGAGGAGCTAGCGTGAGATGGCCTAGAGGTGCAAGAGTGATCAGCACACACTTCCAGTAGCGGCGGAACACCTACAATTAAGGGGGGGGGGGGCACTGCCGACTTTTGGTCCCATTCTTTCCATGCAACGCCCATAGGGCTTTAAAATGTCAAAATCAAAGGGGGGCACGGTGCCCCGGTGCCCTCCCCGTTCCGCCGCCTTATATGCACACTTCGACAGCCCAGTGTCACAATGAATATCGACCCTATAGGGTATATGATTACGGAGCGAGCGAAGCGAGCGTAGTCTTTCCTTAGCCCCGGTCCCACTAGGCGTTGCGACCACTTACGACCGCCTACGACCCAAATCATTGCCGACCACCGCCGACCATCACCGAATGCTGCAGATCCATCGCAATTACGGTCACATATATAAAGGGTCGGCAATCATCGTACGACTAATCGCACAAGCGGTGGCAGACCATCGTACGAAGTTTGCCGAACCAAGAAAAAATTGGGGCATGAGTCGCATGAATGACGTGCGAAACTCGGCGACAGCCGTGAGTACGTCATGCGATAGGTAACGACTGGCCGCCGGCGACTGAAGATCTGTTCAAGACCTATCGCCGATTGCCGCACGATTGGTAAAGAGCGGATGTTCCGCTAACCATATTAGTGGCAGGGGGGGGGGGCTGTTTACATCCATCCCTGAGGCTTTTCGGAAATATCTTCAAAACGACTGGGGCTAGGATGCCGAAATTTTCTGACTTTTCTTAAAACTAAGCTGGGCACTTTTCCTGAAAATTTTAAGTTGATATCTTTATCAGGGGCGGTTCCAGGGCATGGGGAATCGGGAGGTCCTATTCGTGAAGCGAGTCATTTAGTCAAAGATCACGATGCTGATGCATTAAACTGTAATTTTTCATTATGTAGGTATATCAACATTATTTGTAGGTATAACAGCTTTAGAAGTGAACAAGAAACGGATCGTAGGCGGTTCCAGGGAAAAGGAGAGAAGGTATATGTCACCTTCCACCTTCGGTGCCCTGATGCCGCCTATGAATATTCAATCTAATTTTAGTCATTTTATCACACGTTTTTGTATCATAATGAGATTATTAATTTGCCAGCCCGTTTTGGTGACAGCACCAACAAAACATCCGATAGATTATGTATTTCATGTGCCTCCAAATTTCATAACCTCTAGGAATCCGGCTATTAATTTTCGAAATGCTTATTTTTGTAATACATGTCAAATTCTGATTCATCCTGCATCGATCGGCAGTAGCGTCAAAATTGGTTGAAAAACATGGCCATGGTGAGGAGTTGAAAAAGCATCTGAAATGTGTAGTTTCTATCCCCCTCCTACCTTTTTGCGTTTTTTGGACTTCCTTTCTTCAAAATGTAGATCACGTTGAGGGAATCGAATGCCATTCGAATTTTGAAAATCGGCAGGTTATATTTTGACACCAGCCGCATTTTCGGGTCAGGTCAGGTCATTGACCTATGGCGTCAGAAGTGAACCTCTGCACGATCTTCAGAGGTCGCAACTCCGCAACGCTCTCAGTGCCAGAGGAGCTTTCACAAGGAGATTAAACTTACAGGACGTAGTAGAGGTCTCACAACTTGCACATCTCAGATTTTTCCTAAAGGTCACATGACGAAAGGTTGGTTACGTGACCTCACCATTTCAAGTCAATGGGGGAAAATAAAAACTGCTATTTTGACGCCGGGAAAGATCTTAAGCTATCCCAACCCCAAGCATATCGAATCGTGATTTCATGCACTCTTTGCAAGTTTGATGCGTCACTTTTGCATTGTTAATGACGTCACTAGGGTCATATTAGTTTTTCGTCAATAACTCCCGATCCAATTGAACTAAGAGAGTCGGGAGAGCCACCAATGGACTTGAGAAGACCTGCCAAATTAAAAGATATGCGACATGACCTCATTCGACAAACTTCGTGACCTGTAAGCCCTGGCCTGACCGTGACCTGAGTTCAACCCCAACAAAAAGTATATCATTCGACAAGTCTCAACAAGGCGAACACGATGATGTCAAAATCGCACCTTTGCGGCCTCTTTTAGCCAAGTTATTACGGAGCGAGCGAAGCGAGCGTAGTCTTTCCTCAGATTAACGGAAATTTCTGAGTATGAGCAGCCGGCCGGCCGTGGTCACGATTCTGCGACGCTTATATCTCAGCAACCACTTGACCGATTTACACGCGGTAATTTTTGTAGGGTAGCTTCATTCCTTCTACCAAGTATTGGACTATTCCCGATGCATGTGGGTGACCCCTTATGCACGTGCCACGTGCAAAACGAAGAGGTGTCACTTTTGAAATTGTTGCAATATCTCGGTAACTACTTGGCCGATTGCGCTGAAAGTTGGCATGTAGGTAGGCACCCACTAGGCAATGCATATCCATGTGCCAGAATTGGGGTGCTGCTGCACGTGCGCACGTGCAGGGGTCGATTCCAGATCTCGAGAACGGCTGGACCGATGGCGCTCAAATTTGGCACATGGTTAGGGACCGGTTAGTAGGGTGCCGTGCAAAAGTCAGTTGGGACCCATTTTGCACGTGCGCGCGTGCAGGGTGCCGCTTCCAGATCTCGAGAACGGCTGGGCCGATTGTGCTCAAATTTGGCACATCGCTAGAGACCGGTTAGTAGGGTGCCGTGCACAAGTCAGCCGGAGGTACCCCGTCGAAATTTCGCACGTGCAAGGCTCACCCTCTCACTCGCTCCGTTAGTCGCCCCAAAAGGCGTTATACTGGTTCATCAAAAACTGAACCCATAACTTTGGCACTTGACCTGACGTTAGATGTCACCGGTTGACCTAAGACCTTATAATCGGGTGTCAACAACTGTATCTCGTAACGGCGCACACGCTTGTTTTTCCTGAGACGCGCTAGCTCCATCAGAGGCGAAACGGGGAGGGGGTCGTACCCGCCCCCTCCCCCTTCGCCGGCGCGTAGAAGAAAACCTTGATATGTCCGGCGATAGTTAAGATCTCGTTCTTTTCCAGAGTCAACTGTTCAGCAATTTTCTTTTTCTCGGTCACGTTCCGTGTCGTGTCCCTCATGTTCTGGAGCTGGGCCGCCTGGAATGGTCGGTATTTTTGGGTCGGTTCCCACCTCCGACTCGTGAGAGGCACTATAGGTATAGTAGGCGGTGCATCATTTCTTATTTGTTATTGCGCTGTTTTTATTTGAAAATCTACTGAAAATGGACGATTTTTTTACGCATCCCCTTCATCGTCTACGGCTGATCTCAAAGTGAGAGCACTACATATGTTCGCGGCCGTGTGATAAGGGTCGGTATGAGATCTGAGATGTCCGTACCACTGTCGTCGACTAATTTCCGACTAGTGCCGTGCAATCGGCCACCATCGTGCGATTGCTCGGCGATCGAACCTTGGTGGTCTCGCGACTGGTTGCTGATGTTGGGAAGAACGTCGTGCGATTATCGGCGACTTGCATACGACCGCCGACCGCTCCCGACTAGGCCCGCGACCACCGAAACCTGTCGTGCGATACTCGCCCTCCTACTAGCGAACAATGAAATACTTGTTGCGGTTTCTCGCGAACTCTTTGCGACCAAATCGGTCGCCAGGAGGTTTTTAGTGCATCATCAAAAACCTCTTGGCGACCAAAATGACCTCGCGACGTCTGAAGACAAGTCGTTCATATCAACATCCAATCGTACGAGCTCTTGAAGAATTGCGACAACCTTTTGCCGACCACCGATCGTGGGCGGTCGTAAGTGGTCGCATCGCCTAGTGGGACCGGGGCTTTAGATTAACGGAAATTTCTGAGTATGAGCGGCCGGCCGGCCGGCCGGCCGGCCGTGGTCACGCTTTTGCGACGCTTATATCTCAGCAACCACTTGACCGATTTACATGCGGTAATTTTTGTAGGGTAGCTTCATTCCTTCTACCAAGTATTGGACTATTCCCGATGCAATGCATGTGAGTGACCCCTTATGCACGTGCCACGTGCAAAACGAAGAGGTGTCACTTTTTTAATAGTTGCAATATCTCGGTAACTACTGGGCCGATTGCGCTGAAAGTTGGCATGTAGGTAGGCACCCACTTGGCACTGCATATCCATGTGCCAGAGTTGGGGTGCTGCTGCGCGTGCGCACGTGCAGGGGTCGTTTCCAGATCTCGAGAACGGCTCGACCGATTGCGCTCAAATTTGGTACACAGTTAGGGACCGGTTAGTAGGGTGCCGTGCACAAGTCAGTTGGGACCCATTTTGCACGTGCGCACGTGCAGGGTGCCGCTTCCTGATCTCGAGAACGGCTGGGCCGATTGTGCCCAAATTTGGCACGTCGCTAGAGACCGGTTAGTAGGGTGCCGTGCACAACTCAGTTGGAGGTACCCCCTCGCAATTTCGCACGTGCAAGGCCCACCCTCTCGCTCGCTCCGTTAGTCGCCCCAAAAGGCGTTATACTGGTTGGTATATGAAGATTCGTTGAATATGCACAATGCACAATGCACACTACGTAGGTACACATTACAATACACAGTACCTATTATGCAGTTCCACGGTACAAGTAGGTACCCATATCTCGACTTTCACCAACCTGCCGGTAATACGCAGATAGTCGTCCTCTTTAAAGATTGACTCTTGTATTTTGCAGATGGTGACAGCAAACTCTTGTGGTGCTGACTCGTTCACTTCGAACGTCTTCACCGTTTCTTTTCTCATATACTTGATAAGACAATAACTGCTCTGGAACACAGAGTGAAGGCATGCCTTACTCCTGAGCGGAGCAGCGATGGTATAACTTTTTATGTTTGTCACAAGCTAAAGAGATAAGTTGTAAGGTTATCGTTTAAAGTTAAAACAGATTTTGACAAAAAACATTTTGACGCATTACGGTATTATATTTCACTCAGCCCAGTAGGTAATGTCGAATACAAAAGTCATTGAATGATTGCAATCAATCGATGAAAATAAATGAAGGAAATAACTACTTTTTCATTTCTTTCACACTCGGCAATGGATGGGTTAAAACCCGCGCCCCGCTGAGCTATTCAGCCATGCGCGCCCTGCTGGGGGGGGGGGGACAGATTCTGCCCCCTGTCTAACTTCCGAACCGATGGTCGTAGAAAGACGGAGAAAACGGCAATCGAAAGCTCTCAATAATGCGGTTTTAAAGAGCCGATTTTTTTTTTGCTTAAGTAGGTCAGAGGTCAGGTCAAGGTCAAATCAAGGGTACAAAATGCAAGTTTCTACAGTAGCCGTTTTCACGACGGGCTGTACGGCGAATGCACCTGATTTGACCAAATCTGCACCTAATTTCTTGTACAGCAAATATCTTCACTTTATGAATTAATTTCAGTGTTTTAATCGATGATGCTTTCTGATAATATGACAAAGCACGCATATAAGCAATTAGTGCAACACTAGCTGATAGCTGCTAAGAGACACACTGAACCTGATTTGACCAAATCTGCATCTGATCTGTACCAGATGTGCACCAAATGTGTACCAGATGGCCGTCGTGAAAACGGCTAGTATCAGCCTTGCACCGTAGTTGCCGAAGAATGGACTGAGACTGATTGCCCAAAACGTGTTCTAAGGCTACCAAGACAATATTTGTTGCACACAATATCATGCAAAGGTCAAGGTCAAGGTCAGGTCAGGTCACCAAAAACGAAATTATAGAAAAGGGCATATGCGACACATCGACACCTTTTTTTAAACCCCACATCTGCTCTCCCGTGAAATTCCGGGAGGCACGAAAGATCTCCTTTTAAAAGTGTCTAATCGTCCGATCCTGATCAAATATGTGTGTTCGTAGGCCTGTTCTGGTATTGCTTTATCTGCCAAAGACAGAAAAAAAAACTTGAGAAAAATCGAGTGATTGTACCTTTTTTGAAGGTCTCTAACCAACTTGTCTGAAATTCACCGGAGAACAAATGTGGGTTTTAAAAAAAGGTGTCGACACTTGACATGTTTTAAGGGTCATTTTATCCATAGAATTCAATAGGCACACTCAATAAGTGATGTGGACCACATCTGGATGAATTTCATGTCGAGGCCTCAGGCCAGGTCAAGGTCAGATCAAGTTAAAAAGTGGCCACCGGTCTCGCTTCACGAGCCGGATAGCCTCCTCCTCGCCAGGCCGAGGACATATAAGGCCACTAAAAAAAAAGTGAGGTCAAATTTTGAAGTTGGTTGTTACTGTTAGGACCTGAAAAGGTGACTATCTGATGCAGTGTTTCACGGCGAATCGAATGGTGCTATTTTTGTTTCCGTACGAGGTCTATAACTAAAAAAAATCAATTTAAAAAATGTGTGTCGTACTCGTGACGTCATAACAGTTTGAATAACTACCACATTCTAGAACCGATTCTTCTAAAAAAAATTGGTGTGTAGGTGCACATAGAACACTTCGCTGACACATATTCCGTTTTTTTTCGATACACTCACAATTTTGATTTTTTTAATGATGTTCCCAAAAAGTCAGTTTTTTAAGAATAAAAATTTGGCCCAAAATCCAAAAAATTTTAAACACCGAGATAGCCATTTGATAGACAAAGTAGAATCACGTATAACCCTTATTGTTACGTTACGTCTTGATTCCTTTAAAAATGAAGATGTTAGCGGCGTTTAAGAAGTTTTGCCGTTTTTGAGGCGAAAATGGCGTGACATGACGTCACTTAAACGTCATTTTCTCCAAACAAAAACAAAAAAATCCGACGGATTTCGCACAAATTTTCGGGGAACGTGTTAAAATGATGCATGAGAAGGTACTGAAATTTTGACGTTGCTGGCGTAACGCGTTTAGAAGTTACTCAAGTTATTGTCGAAAAACGGGAGGGGCAGATTCTTCCCCCCCCCCCCCAGCGGGGCGCGGGTTAACTATAAAAAAGAAAATATCCAGAAGTTCGTTCCTGCTGTCGGATGTATCAAAACTGGATAAAACACCTATAACTGTATAACATAATCAGAGTGTGCTGGTCAGGCAGCTGGGGCATGCTGGAATAAACATTAAACATATCATGTGGCAAACGTTTTTCAAGAGATGACATACAGGGTGTTCCAAAATTAATGTCACAGCCTCCCCCACAACCTTTCTTTTTGCCTTCTACGGCGCAATGTCAATGTAATTACGCCAATACTGGCTCCCAGACCATCTTGGTTTCATTCTAGTCACGTGACCGTCGATTTTTTTTTTTTTTACCCTGACCGGCCAAGGGGTGTACGAACTACGAAGATCATTTCCGAGGCAGTACCCAGCGCGCGCGGACCAGGTGTTCAGGACGGCAAAACTGCAGAGCAAATCGTCCCGCAGTGGGGCAGTCGGCATGGTTGCCTGCGGCATGACCTACGGCCAGGTTGCCGAGACACAGGGCGTGAGTCACCGCACGATTTGGCGCTGGTTGTCACGCAACAAAAGCAGATAGACGCCTCCTGAGAACAAGCTAGGTCACGGCAGGAAGACTTCCGCCAGCCGGGTAGCGCAGATCGTCATCGCGAAGTGCGGAGCTAAAGACGGGTTTATCCACAAGGAAACTGGCAAGGAGGCTGATTGCCAACAGTCATCCAGTCTCCAAGTCGACAATCCATCGGTACCGGAGGTTGCCTCTAAAGCTGAAGCCCACCATGAGCCACGTCTCAAGCCGAGAACTTCTGCCGAACATGGCCAGAGCCATCTTTTAACAGGTCGGCACCCCGGCTCATCGAGCTGGAACGACGCAGGACTGGTGCAGATCGAACTTCCCAGCATTCTAAGACAAGGACAAATGACTGGGAAATAGTCCCAACCTGTCGCCGAGGTAAAATCTTAGGGCGATCGTCCGGTAAGAGGTAAACAAAATGGCAATGACAATCGAAGGCACGCTGACCAGGAACGTTCGATCTGTCTCGCCCAAGATTAGTCCACAGAAGCTGGACATGTTGATGTCTGAAGTCTCGAACCCTCGTCAGGGAGAAGGTGGGATAGGTACTTACATAAGTAAGAAAAGCGCACCTCTCATGTTTTTTATTTTCATGCAATTGACGCTGGAAGGGTGCGACATTGTTTTTGGGACACCCTGTAAAATGCATTGGTGGATCTGCCACCTTAGCCCTCGCCTATCGGTCTCCCAACGACGAAAACACCCAGAGAAACGATGAGTGCGCGAAGCAAGGTAATGGTGTTCTTCGTGTACAGTGCTTAGCCGTTTAATGTTATTAACGTTTTGGCACCCATTCTTAGCCACCTTTTGAGAGTATCTGACGAGTCTACTCACCAGTCCCAGAAAGGCGACGAGGCAGACTGCGAAGACCACCAGACGGATGGCGCGGGAGAGGGATGTGACACGAGTTACTCGCCGTGCCGCCGACAGAGCGTCCATCCCGACACCTTAGCCGCACTGATCCTCGAATTACAGTGCTCACTGATCCGTCCTTTCGACGGCCGTGACAATTTATATTACCTATCTTCAAACTACTTAGAAGGCAAGGGCCAGTTTCGCCTGTCCCGGGCCGCCCCCCGATGCCTGTGCGAATCTCGGCGCTCGCACGCCGGCCCACCTGGGCCTGGCTGCCCCTGCTGAGCGCTGACCCCCCACTGACCGGACCGCCACCGACGCGCCCGGCCACCCCAGAGGCCGACGTAGTGCAGGCCGTGGTTCTTTCCATTGTGCGGTACTGCATGAGTGTGTACGGGACGTGTGGTGTGACACAGATGACTCGCGTACAGAAAATCATCAACTTCTGTGCGCGGGTCGTCAGCAGTCGCAGACGCAGTGACCACATCTCCGATGTCATCGAGCGGCTTGGCTGGCTGCGAGCAGATGAGTTAGCCGAGTACCACACTATCTGCGCAGTCCAGCGAGCTATCACCACGAGAACTCCTGAATATATCAGCCAAACCATCGCGTCGGTCCATTAGCCCGCGACCTACATGACCACAACACAAGGCACGCCGGCAGATTGACACAACTACGACCCCGAACCGAGACGGGGAGGCGCCGACTGTGTATCAGGGGGGTCTCGATGTTGAACGACATGAACTTGGATCCGTATTTGCCATCGTTCCGTCGAAAGGCAAAAAACGCGATTCTTACCAGACGTCACTGAGATGGTATTGGTGTGAATGTCGTGTGCGTGATTTGTGTGTGCTATGATGATGTCATGTCCACTTACCCTATGTTTTATCGGTTTTATCTGCTTTACGTGTCAGGTGAAAAGCCACTTTTTGCTGTGGACCCTCGATGAATACATATCTGATCTGATCTGACCGCTGACGTCGTCCGTCGCCGCTCGAATGGCACACTGTTGGCTGCCATAGTTTAACTACCACTCCTTCGGCTGCCATAGTTTAACCAGCACTATCGCCCGTCGCAGTTTAACCTATCTGTGAGAATATTGGTTTAACCATCGCACTGTCGGCTGCAGCATAATTGCAGTTCCATCGGCGGACGACAAAGAAAGAGGCGTGTCTAAGAGGCTTCCATGACAAAATATCGAAACGCAAAATATCGAAGCGCAAAATATCGAACGCAAATTATCGAAAGCAAAATATCGAAGCCGCAAATTATCGAAATTGCAGAATATCGAAATCGCAAAATATCGAATTGCAAAATATCGAAATAGCAAAATATCGAAATCGCAAAATATCGAATCGCAAAATATCGAATTGCAAAATATCGAAATCGCAAAATATCGAATCACATAATATCGAGAGCAAAATATCGAAACGCAAACTATCGAAACGCAAAATATCGAAACGCAAAATATCAAAAGACAAAATATCGAAAGACAAAATATTGAAAGACAAAATATCGAAAGACAAAATATCGAAAGACAAAATATTGAAAGACAAAATATCGAAAGACAAAATATCGAAAAGGCAAAATATCGAACGCAGAATATCGAAAAGACAAAATATCGAACGCAAAATATCGAACAGACAAAATATCGAACGCAAAATATCGAAAAGGCAAAATATCGAACGCAAAACATCGAAAAGGCAAAATATCGAACGCAAAATATCGAAAAGAGAAAATGACGAACGCAAAGTGTTGAAAAGGTAAAATATCGACTTGAAATGGCCCTCTGCGGACTCCTTAAAACTCCTTGGAGGTAAGCTATGGTATTTCTGAGCATGATAAATAATGTAAATAGAGTGAATAACCTTATGCTCATGTTATATGCTGCAAATTGATATAATTGAAACTAAATTGATATATTTCGATATTGCACCGTCATCATTATTCTGATGACGGTGCAATATCGAAATATATCAATTTAGTTTCAATTATATCAATTTGCAACATATAACATGAGCATAAGGTTATTCACTCTATTTACATCCTTAAAACTCTGTCGAACTCATCGGGCCCTCTGTTATCTGTAGGCCTCAAAGAGCAATCAGCGGGTCCATGACAGCCTTGGAAAACTCTGATATTTTTTGTAGATCTCAGCAGTGGCGGCGGAAGGTAATTTCGGGTGGGGGTGCAAAGTTTTCTCAAGGTGCCTCTCTAGAAGTTTCGCCCCCCCCCCCGATATTTTTTAGAGTGATTATCATTGCTTTATGAAAAACGAAGATTTTGGAAAACTATCCCCAAACACACAAGTTCTGCAAAATATTTGAAATTACAGTGTACCTATCTCAAATAAAGCATAACGAAGCAAATGCAGCTAGTTTTTATCATCTAATCTTGTTTTAGTCTACCCACCACCCTCAGCATCTCAACCCACTTTTCTGGATCCGCAGTGGACCATTAACCCTCGCCCATGTAGGGGGGGGGTTGGTGCAACCCCCCCCCCCCCTGAGGTTTTTCGGAAATAGTGCAAAAACGGCGGCGCGCAGCGCCGCCAAATTTTGGGTACCTTATGGGGCAAGCCTTGCGCATCTTTTGATAAAAAAAAATTTGACCGGGTCATGTCAGGTCACGGAGTTATGACGTCACAAAGGGAACAGCCTCCGGCCGGATTTTCACAAACTGAGTGCCAACGCCCGAGGTTTCCTGCCGGTGGTACGGAGATCGGTTGATGGATCGTGATGAAACTTCCCATGCATGTTGGGGCAAGTATTGGCTATCATATGGTATAAGAAACTTGACCGGGTCAGGTCAGGTCACGGAGCTATGACGTCACAAGAGGAACAGCGTCCGGTACTATTTTTGAAAAGCGCCCGAACCACTATTTTGCTAATTCTTGTCACCTCAATGGGAATATGCAGCAATATTAGCTTCTATAGGGAGCAAATGGACCTCCCAAATCCAAAAATACAATCAGATTTCAAAAATTTAAATCTTGATTTTTCGAATTTCTGCCGCCGACTGTGACCTTGCCGACTTCCGGCGCTCCCAACGCGCCATTTTTAGAGCTAGGGAAACGAAATACATACCAAACGATAGAGAATTGATCAAGGAACACGATAGTGAAGGTTTCAAGTCGATATCTCTCACCGTTTTGCCGCAATCGCCGCCGAAAGTTGAAAAAAGTCTATTTTTCCGAAAATTTGACCTTTGACCGGTCAAAAGTAGGTCAAATGTTGACCTAGGACCAAAAAATATACCACCAATCGCGAGATCTCGGCGAGAGCAATCCGTTGGTCTTTTCCGCTAAGCTCTACGACGCTCCGTTTTCAAACGCCAAGGGGGGGGGGGTCGCACCAACCCCCCCCCTGCATGGGCGAAGGTGGCAGATCGCCGTTTACGGGCGAGGGTTAAGGGCCCTACGAGACCGTTCTTAGAAGACCGTGTTTAAAAGCCCCTTGGAAACCAACCCCTTAGAGGCTCCTCCAGAGACCTACATGACTCCCCAGACCGAATGAGCCCTCCGACCAGGGTCGGTCCCTCAGAGGTTGCTGAAGGGTTTCAGAAAGCAGTATACTCGTAGGCTTTTGATTGAAGGCTTTTGATGGCTCTCAGAGACTGGCATCGGACCCAAAAAAGCCTGTATGGAAGTACAAAAAGTGACGCATGCAAGGGATCTTGGACGACAATTGTTGTTTGTTTATTTTGGATGACAGATGTTAATTAAGAAGCAATAGGCCCTTGCTGCTATAGATACCCACTTATAAACATAAATGCACGATCTATGGACGACGCAGTGAAATTAAAATGTTGTTAACCCGCGCCTGACTGGGGTATATTCCATAACACAACTGACTGGGGGGGGGGCTATTTGGAGCCCCCCCCCCTCCTATCTCCGAAGCTACTGGACCAATTTTCAAAACTCAAACGGTGTTTGATAGCAGTGGCGGATCCAGGGGAGGGCAAGTAGGGCAATTGCCCTCCACAAAGGACATCATTTTTAACATTACGTCTATGGCAGTGCATGAAAAGAAACAATAAATTGTGATGGTTTGCCCCTCCCAAAACTCTGGGTTGGATCCGCCTATGTTTGATAGCCCCGGAAGATCTGTCGAGCGAAACCTAATTTCGACAGAGTTCGACAGAGCTCTAAGGAGTCCGCAGAGGGCCATTTCAAGTCGATATTTTACCTTTTCGACGCTTTGTGTTCGTTATTTTGTCATTTCGATATTTTGCGTTCGATATTTTGCCTTTTCGATATTTTGCGTTCGATATTTTGTCTGTTCGATATTTTGCGTTCGATATTTTGTGTTTTCGATATTCTGCGTTCGATATTTTGTCTTTTCGATATTCTGCGTTCCATATTTTGCCTTTTCGATATTTTGTCTGTTCGATATTTTGCGTTCGATATTTTGTCTTTTCGATATTCTGCGTTCGATATTTTGCCTTTTCGATATTTTGTCCTTCGATATTTTGTCATTCAATATTTTGTCTTTCGATATTTTACGTTTCGATATTTTGCTTTCGATATTATGCTATTCGATATTTTGCGAGTTCGATATTTTGCAATTCGATATTATGCAATTCGATATTTTGCGATGTCGATATTTTGCAATGTCGATATTTTGCGGTTCGATATTTTGCGATTTCGATATTTTGCGCATTCGATATTTTGCTTTCGATATTCTGCCACTTCGATAATTTGTCTTCGATATTTTGCTATTCGATATTTTGCTTTTCGATATTTTGTCCGGAAACCGTCTAAGAGACCAGTTGAAGAAGCCTGGAAGACAGAATTAGCGCGCCCATGGCAGGAAACGGTCTACGGATTTTCATCATACGGACTGGGACCAGGCATCCTCACACGACAAAAATCTTCATTCCTCACCCAAAAGGCATCCCTATATCCTATATACCTCACTCCTGCGGCATGGGAGAGCTCGACATTATCGCGTTCAAAATTAATTTGTCCCTGGTATATCTTATCTATCCTTGAACTTAATGGTGTCGCTCTATAACCTCTCCCGACCCATTATGTTAAAAATGAGTCAAAAATGACCACCTCGTGCCTCGTGGTGAAATCACCATAAGGTAGTTTTAAGATGTTTCTGGACAATTCAGTTAATAGAAATTAAAACGTTAGGCGGCACGGGCGGAC